GCGCAGCCATAGCCAAAATAAAAGAAGCGGGTATAACGCTCAACAAAGCAAAATGTGAAATTTCGACATCGTCAATTAAATTTCTTGGACATGTCATAAACGTAAATGGAATTACGCCTGATCCAGATAAACTTACAGCAATTTCCAAAATGGCTGAACCTACCAACGTGTCAGAGGTACGCCGCCTACTAGGGATGGTAAACCAACTTGGAAAATTTTTGCCAAACCTAGCGGAGACAACAAAGCCGCTACAGGATTTACTAGTCAAGAACAATCAGTGGATGTGGGACACCACAAAAAACAGCATTCAAGGAAATAAAAAAAAGTCTAACTTCTGAGACGTTCCTAGCCCATTACAACGTCGCAAACAAGACAATTGTGTCAGCAGATGCCAGTTCATATGGTCTTGGAGCGGTAATCCTCCAGCAAGAAGGAGGCATATACAGACCCATAGCCTATGCTTCGCGAGCAATGTCGCCAACTGAGCAAAGTTATGCACAGATAGAAAAGGAAGCCTTGGCTGCGACTTGGGCATGCGAAAGATTTTCCCAGTACCTTATTGAACTCAAATTCCACATAGAGACTGATCATAAACCCCTCATAACTCACTTCTTGGTTCTAAGAACATCGATGAACTGCCAGCCCGTATCCAGCGTTTTCGTATGAGACTTATGCGATTCTCATACACTATCGCTCATGTACCTGGGAAACACCTCAGCACAGCAGATGCACTTTCCAGAGCACCACTCGCTGATGAGAACCCACAAAACGAGGCATTTATTAATGAAGTAGAGGAATTTAATTCACAGATGATCAAACATGTTGCTATGTCAGACAAAAAACTCAAACTCAAAACTAACTTGGCAAAGGATATTATCCTTTCCAAAGTACTAACATTCTGCCAGCAAGGTTGGCCAGAAAAATCTAAGCTAGCTCCAGAGATGATACCTTACTGGAAGCAGTCTAATATGCTCACTGAATCCGAAGGACACTTGTTATTTGGCACACGCCTGGTCATTCCACGAATAAGGAGGCAGGAAATTCTTGAACGAATTCATGACGGACATCAAGGAATTTCTAAATGTCGCGAAAGTGCAAAATCCACGGTTTGGTGGCCTGGATTAAGTTCAGAAATTGCAGAAATGGTAGAGAGATGCCAAACTTGTCGCCTGCAGAGAAAGAACAAAGTAGAGCCTATGATACCATCGAAAACGCCAGACAGACCATGTCAAAAGATTGGAGTCGACCTATTTCACTTTAGACACTTTGACATACATCTTAGCAATCGACTACTTCTCAAGATACATTGAGATTGACTTATTGACAACGACCACATCAACTAGTGTTGTTAGTCATTTGAAATCCATTTTCGCATGTCACGGGGTACCACAGGAAGTGATATCAGATAATGGACCTCAATTCGCATCAGCAGACTTCTTAAGATTTGCGCAAGAGTGGAACTTCACTCACACAACCAGCAGTCCGCGCTATCCTCAAAGCAATGGGGAAGCGGAGAGAGTAGTGCAAACCTTAAAGAACATTCTGAACTCAGCTAAAGACCCATACTTAGCTTTACTGTGCTATAGAAGCACTCCCATACATTCTGGACTAAGCCCGTCAGAATTACTAATGGGAAGAAAACTACGCACCAGACTACCCATGCACCCGAAACAACTCAATCCAAATTGGGAACACCTGAATAGGTTTCGCTTGCAAAACCAACGGCTGAAAAACCAGCAAGAGCAGCAGTACAACCGACGTCATGCTACACACGAGATGAAAGAATTGCCAATTGGAGCGCATGTGTATATTACAAATGCAAAAGTGTTTGGTACAGTAGTGAACAAAGCAAAAACACCAAGGTCCTATATTGTACAAACAGATATAGGAGTGTTGCGCAGAAAATCGCCGTCAACTCAACCTAATGAGCGAACAACCAACTTCGGATGGTCTAATCCTATCTGAAGAGGACCAAACACCACCTGTTCCAGCCGAACCGGTTCCGCGATATCCACGTCGCCAACATAAACCACCGCTATGGAATAGTTCTTTCACATTGAAGCGATAGGCCTTTGAACATTTTGAATATTATATAACCATTTGAACATTATATAACCAAAAATATGCATGCAGAAATGAACTCTATATAATCGACGCTTCAAAGACAATCTAATAGAATAAAATTGTAAAATAAAGTAGAGTAGAGAAACAAATGCTATAATGATCCTAGAAAGGGGGATGTGGCATTAGTATACTTATGGTAACTTGACCACTACCATGAACCACTCTAAAGTAGACCACAGTCTGTCATAGCCTTTAATGATAGATGATAAATCACTCCTGACCCTATTCACCCCTTGTACTGTATATACCTATTTTGCAATATAGTATCATTCTTGAATATACACTCACTGAGTACACACTTAATAAAATAGCCTATAGAGAACTTGTTGTGCCTGAATTTGTTAGTGTGTAAAACACATATTATGTGTTTTACACACTAACAAATTACAATAAGCTAAACAATACAATAAGCTGTAACAAAATGAGGGTGGGTTGAAGAATTTTAAGGGCGATTTACTGCCAAACATATAATGGAAAGATGCTATATAAATGTGGAGGACTTCAAAAAACAATTTTAGGAGCCATTTATGAATGAACAACTTTAATGAGAACACAGACGACTAGAAGTAGTTGAACATGATATTTTTGAAATTGACTCTACTTGGGTGTACAAACAACAGAAAACATTTTTTTTTTTAAATGTTTAGGACGTGGCCAAGGAAATGAAATTCCTAGAATCAGTATCTGGGTTTCCTGAAAAGTTAACACTTGCTCTTATGCACTGGTTTGTGCAATAATGTGGAGCTCTTTTGGAAAATCATGCTCTAAGAATCATAAAATATGTACAGCAAAAAATTGAAATATTTAGTTTTTGAGATAGATTACACCTATAACCATGAATGATAGATCCCAGATTCAATTATTAAATACTATGGAGTTTTAGAATATCATGTTGAGAATAAATGTTGCTTCCATCAGTTTTGTTTTTTCTAATTTGAGAGGAGACAATTATTCATGAGAAAAAATATACATCCACTATATTAAATGTGATAGTGTTAGCTATGAGCTGTTACTCCCTAAAAGCCGAGGGCCCGGGATGTCAAGGTGTCTATAAGATGATATTCAGCAATTGTTTTGGCATGACCATGGGCACCAAACTGTCTGAGCAGGGCCTTTAAAGGAGTTGAACATTTAAAAAAAATCAAAATACACCAAAACACATACCTCACTGTCATACTCATCCTCAGTCTAATAAGGTAGTAAGGGCCTAAAGAAGCCTTAGGGCCTGTGTATACTTGCAACAATAACGATAAAAAGCTAAAAAGCAATTGTTCATAAAAAAAAAGAAAGAAATAGGAGAAATTTTTACACTAGGATGATTCGAAAATGATTTATCGTGTATACGATAATAAAATGTTTTGAAAAATCAATTCAAATGATGTCATAATCATCGTCATCGAATTGTCCTATTGTAAAAACTTATCATATTTCTTTTATTTTCTAAATGAACAATTGCTTTTTAGCTTTCTATCAATTATTGTTGAAGTATAAACAGGCCTTTAGCCAGGGAACAGCTAAATATGTTCTGGAAGCATATCTGGTGTGTAATATTTTTGTCTCACTATTGTAGGTGGAAATTAAAAAGGATGTTTGATTTGAAAAGATGCATATTACTGCTACACAAAGAAACCAAAATATATTAGGGCTTATTCGACTGGTTCATTTCGTTGAGTACGAATTTTCATTGAGTATTATTTTCATTCGACTTTCATTTCGTAAAATAGACTTCCTGACAACGAAAATTAACATAACCAGAATGCGTTAATCAGCATTAAGTTATGCATGTGACCAAAAAAAATATGGCCAATTGGTCAGTTTAGCAACAACATTTGCATTAATATAATTTAGATTAAATTTCAGAAAATAAAAAATTATAATATTTACCCCCATTGAAGTCAAAAAATAATTGCAGGCTAAAAGAATTCAAAAACTGGATGAAAACCTTTTTTTATGAAAAAAACCCAAACTGCCACAATCCGAAGCAGCCTCGATTACGCAGCGTGTATCGCCATAACTATGCAGCCATTTTGTTTTGACGAGTATTTACCAGTTTTCTATTTGACTGGTCGTCTTTGTTAAGTAGGATTTTACCACTGCGCAGGTGAGCGTGGTTTAACGAAGAACAACCAGTCAAATATGGCCTTATTTAAATATTTAAACTCACATTTACCATGAGTATTAATAGTCTAGGAAAGAATTAGTTAGAAGGAGCAGAATGTTAGAAGCAATCCACATAGCCAGATATCTTAATACGTTCTGGTCACCCTAAGCCCTGTTGACACTTGAATTTACGCCTTGTATAGAAATGGCTGCCATTTTTCAAAATGGTCGCCAAATTTATCTAAAATGTGCATAAAAACTAAATAAGCTGCAGATACGATTTTAGTGTCTAAACTCATAATTTCTAGACAGGCAACAACCTAGACATATAAAAACTACTGTCACTCAACATATGCAAAAACTGGTGTTTAGTTGTTTTAAAAGTAACCTCAAAATATATTTAAAATATACAAAACAAGAATAAGTATATAAGCTACTAGCACAGTTTGCTATGTAATCCAGCTAGATTTTTGTGCCAAAAAAGATTTTATTGACTAACTTTATCATTTTTGGTACGCTGAATTTGAAAAAGGTAGGTGCCATTTTTTTTCAACAGTACTTCAACTTCTGGAACCTTCCATGGTCTCTTGGGTTTCTATAATTACCAATGTGGTTTACACTGTTTATTTGATCAATTAAATGTTATTATAAAATTTATTACAAGATGTAGAATAATAGACTGCTACCTCCTTGCTAATTCTTAGTCAATGCAATGCATAAAATAAACAACTAAAACAACTAGTATTTACTCACATCTCTGAAATTCTTCAACTTACCCATTTTTGGTTTTACAAGTTGCGTTTCATGTTCTTTGTCACTATCTTCTGAGTCCTCAAGTATTCCTTCGGATGCTGAAAAAGCCAAAATCAAACAGACTCAACACAAAGGATTATGTTGGAAGTTAATCTTATGCTTTTAAATATTAACTATGGAAATTATACATTTCTCATAATAAAGTTATGTAATATTCAACAACAGCAACACCATCAGATTTTTAAAATATTTATGACAAATGAGTTTTAGAGGATGATCCTGTCACTAATTCTTTTTTTTTTTACTCTTTTTTGTTATCGTCCCACTTTCACTTTCATAACTACATATATATATATATATTATATATACATAACATATAGCCTACATTTTTAAAGTTTTTTTTTTATTTTGTTTGTTTTTTTTTTTCTATGTCAATATTCAAGTCAATATACTGTAGCATGAATGGTAATTTTATATGAAATGCAGTTATTCCCATAAATTATGAAATGCTTGAATTTGCTTGCTTTGGCTGATAAGGTAATTTCTTGCAACCTTTTCCTGTATTTAAGCTCAGTTAAAAGAATTGGAAAAAAAGGTTTTCATAACCGTATATTGTTTTCACATGATTTTAGCCATGTGGGATAAATAACAAAAGCGGCTAATGTAATAAATTCATTTACGACATTGTATTTATCATTAATATTGTCGATTGCTTTAACAACTACGTTAATATTCATATCGAATAAAAATCCTTTTTTTTTTGCATTAATTGTTTGACTTTTCCCCAGTATTTATTTACTAATTCAGTCACTAATTCTTTTTCTATTTTTGAAAAAACAAAATGTGGTTGGTCATCAGCTTCTTAAAGAAGTTTTTTTATAAAATGTTCTCACACTTACTTTCCTTCTAGACAGTGCATCCATTCTAAATTATTCACAGGCCTTTGACTCTAATAAACATATTCAATATTGCTTAAAGTATTAATTTATTATTTCAAACTAATGCAAAGCAGTTAATTTTCTAAAATATTAACTAATTTTGTATTAAAATGTAAGCAACAAGTTGGTCAATGGCTGAATATATAGTAACAAAATTGTAGAAAATAGAAAGAGTACAAATTTAAATATTTTGTCGTCAACATGATTAAAATAATTATTGCTACAAATTTTACAAAACTTTTATCCCTATACATTTTTTCGCATCTCTTCTTTTCAATTTTTAATTCAAAGTTAAGATAATAACTTTCTGTGGCTCAAATTACTGTATAACATAATTTAAAACACTTTTAACCTAGAATGCAAGTTAATTACTGAAAGGTTCACTGATTAATCTCAGATAAGAAAGTATAATACATACTCCAAGCATTGAAATGCACGCCAAGTTAATTACATATTAGTTTTCAATGTCACGCAATATAACTCTTCAAGAAATTATATATTGTTGTGACAAAATTGCTAAAGCTAGACATAAGCAAAGTCCATTAAAAAAGAAGATTATTAACAGTTCTCATTACTGCTAATTCATTAAAGTATTATTGGAGCACTGTTATTATTACTGGTATTATTATTAGACCTAATCAATTATAGATACAATAATGTTATCAATCCTTCAAATCATCCATTTTGATTAATTAAACAACAGCTTTTCAAATGTAGTACTGCCGATAAAAAACTGCAGTTTTTTGGCATTGCGGCAGTGCCAATAGAAAATAGCAGCTTTTTTCGCACTCCGGCAATAATGTAAATAGAAAATAACAGCTTTTTTCGCACTGCTGCAGTTCTGATAGAAAACAGCAGATTTTTTTCTCACTCCGGCAGTGCCGATAGCCTCAGCCTCTAACAGTAATTAGGCAGTTGGTAAATAAAACATAAATGACACTTAAATCTAATGATATTTAATGTTATAACATTATCTTCATTGGTCGCTATTTTATTGTATAAAAGAAAAAGCATTTAAACAAATAAAGAAAATCATGAAAAGAAAGAGAATGAGTTAGAGAAAACTTAAACATAATTTTGAAATTATATTAAGTGTTGATGCATTTGGATGATTGTACTGATATCAATGGATAAAATGGATAAAGATGATGGTTCAACAACAAAAAAAAAAAAAAAAATAGCATTGTATTTTACCTTACATAGTGGCTTTGGTGCTTAATAATTTGTTATGCCTTGATTAACAAAATTAATGTTATGATACAAAATTTCAGGTCACCAATTTCTTGATAACAGAAAAAGCGTCATGGATTTACCAGCAATATCATTATTAAGCAAACATCCAAGTTACTTTACACAGAGCTATTTTTTTTTAAATTTCTTATCGTGTGACATATCTTAAAATATTTGATTTAACTCCGAATTAATTTCTGACATAGCCATTGAGGATAAATATCTAGTCAATTTGGTACCATGGACCTCAATTATTAAAATAACCTGTGGTTAATGTTCAAATACATTTCCAAGAAGCACAATCTGGTGTTATACGTCAGAATTACTAAAAATTAAAAAAAATGGGTATAAATAATAACATAGCATGATGTATAAATATTCAAAGTTGAGTTTAAATAGATTTAAACAATGTTCACATTCCACCATGTTTTTATTTTATTATCACAAAAACATGGAGTGGTGTGGAATGACTGGTTTGGCCTGTCTTTGCTGCTTAAATTTCAAGTCACCATTGACTTCTTGCTAACAGAAAAAGTCTATCAGTGCTGTAATATCTTTATCAAGCAAGCATCCACAATACTTTACACAGAGTGTATTTTGTTTTTATTTCTTTATTGTGTGACATATCTTACAATATTTGATTTAACTCTGCATTAATGTCTTACCCTTGAGGATAAATATCTAGTCAATTTGGAACCATGGACCTCACTGATTAAAATAACATGTGGTTAATGTTCAAATACATTTCCAAGAAATACAATCTAGTGTTATATGTTAGAATTGCTAAAAATCAAAATATCAATATAATAACATTGAAATCTTGAAACACTCACTTTCACTTGGTCTCACTAGCTGAGCCTTGTATTCAACACTTGACAGTTCTTCAGATGTTTCTTCAAGGCTCATAGTGGATGGCACATCAGGCATGTCCCTTTTTGGAATCTATGATATAGTTGTTAATATAAGAATATGGTTGTTTGTTTTAATCTACTGCTACTACAGTGATAGTGAAATAATTAAACTCATATTCACTTGTTCACACTTTTAAGCATTTTATCATCATCGTTGCAAGTATAAACAGGCCTTTAGCCATGGAACAGCTAAATATGTTCTGGAGGGGGTAGTGAATGGCATATCTGATGTGTAATATTTTTGTCTCCCTATTGCACATGGAAATAGAATGTTTGATTTGAAAAGATGCATATTGCTGCTATGCAAAAAAAAAAAAAAAATCAAAATATATTATTTAAATATTTAAACTCACTTTTACTTGTTCCCTCTAACTGTGTCTTGATTTCATCACTTGACAATTTTTCAGATGATTCTTTAAAGGTCATAATAGATGGCACATCAGGCATGTCACTTTTTTGAGTCTCCATTATTGCTGAAAATTAAGAAGGATAATATATGTTTATTTTATTATTCTACTGCAGAGCAAGAGTTACATCATCCACAACTATAATAGTGAAATAACTATAAAGTAGTGTTTGTTCTATAGCTACTGCAACAATATAATACTAATTTAAATAAACTCACTTTCACTTGATCCCACTAGCTGTCTCTTTTGCTCATCAGTTGGTAATTTTTCAGGTTTTACTTCAATGGTGACAGGTGACTGTAAATCAGATGTCTCACTTTTTTGAGTCTCTATTATAAGGTAAAATTAAGAAGGATAAAGTTTGTTTTGCTCTACAGTAATACACAGCAACAATGAAAGCAACAATTTAATACTAAAATAACTAAACTCACTTTCACTTGATCCCACTAGCAGTGTCTTGTGTTCATCACTTGATAATTGTTCAGATGTATCTTCAAAGGTGGCAGAGGATGGCACATCATGTGTCTCACTTTCTGTCTCCTCTTTAAAGTAATTTTTGATGATTAATAATTCAAATTCTTAAGTCTACAACTTATATTTTATCTTTAATATTAAAATTCATATTACTGTACTGATGTTTCTGGTAAAGATGTTTACATCACAGACAATTTTTATAAAGCCATTTACCATGAGTATTAGTCTAGGAAAAAATGAGTTAGAAGGAGCGGAATGTTAGAAGCAATCCACATAGCCAGATATCCTAATTAATCCCTTCTGGTCACCCTAAGCCTGCTGACACTTGATTTTACACCATGTATAAAAATGACCCCCATTTTTTTAAATGGTCGCCAAATTTATCTAAAATGTGCATAAAAATGGAAATAAATAAACTGCAGATACGATTTTAGTGTTTAAACTCATAATTTCAGGCAACATTCTAGACATATAAAAACTACTGTCACTCAACATATGCAAAAACTGGTGTTAATTTGTTTTAAAAATAACTGCTAAATATACTTAAAATGTAGAAAACTGTATAAGTATATAAGTTACTAGTACAGTTTGCTAGTTTGTCAAGGGGTTCATGTTTAATTTTTGGGTGTTCCTGTTTCATGCTTGAATGTACTTGTTCCTTTACTGTTCACTTCCGTCACAGTTTATAATAATAATAATAATAATTTTGGCTTATATAGCTCATTATGCTAAAGCCTCAATGCGCTTAACAATAAAAATAAATAATGCTAGGAGAAATTTAAGAAAAGTACACGTTTAAAAGGTAAGTTTTTAAAGCTGCCTCAAAATCAACAATGGAAGTTGCCTGTTGGATTGTAATAGGCAAAGCATTCCAAAGAAAAACAGAAGCCCAAGAAAAAGAACGATTACCATAATGCTTTTTTGATGGGCGAATAGAATATTTATTACATTTTATCATGACTTATTAGAGAATAAAACATAAAATAAATAAGGAAACATGATAAATAGGAAAAGGTATCCAAAGCAAGCTTTAAACAAAATCACAAAAAAAAGTATACATAAAAATAACTAATTCATTAAATCTTGTGACAATAATTTATCTAGTAATAACTAGTATGCATAAATACCTCCTCAATTGAAAATTAAACATGTCAGTGATTTATCTGTATATTATATTTCCTAATTATTATTTTTTTATTTTTTATTTTTATCTGCCAATAAAACAAATAATGAATTAAAGTTTATGATAGTACCCTTTGTATGGAGAAACACCTCAAGTGGTAATTAAAGATGTTAGTAATTTTTTATACTAACATCTTTTTTCCATACCAAAATTAATATCATAAGCTTTAATTCATTTATTTGTTTTTATATATTTTTGAATTATCTAAATTTGTTTTTTTTATTTATGATCTATCATACATTAGCTGTAAGTCCTTTAATATTTTTTTCTCATTAAAGAAATTAAGAATGGAATGCCAATTAACTTTGGTATGGTGCACACCAAGTGCAATAAAAAAGTTTATGGCCTGGAACCCAGGCTCTATTACTGTAATTTGCTATTAAAGGTTGATGTAATTTTCTTTTGAATGGGTGATTCTTTTAGATGGCTATTACCAGTTTGTACACAATATTTGTTCTGAGATGTTAAATACTAGATTGATTGAATACTAACATTTTAATGAGATAATTGCTTCATGTGTATTTGAGGCTAAATTCACTAAATGAACCGTTCAAAATTAGGTTAATTTAAGCCCATTAAATGTATAATTGTGAATTTTATGAAGGAAAAGATACAGTTTCATAAAAAAAAATAGGCCTCACCTTTTCTAGTCTCTGTATGAAGTGATCATAGGACAGAATTTTTAAAGCCTTCAAATCAGATTAAGGTAAAAAGCACAATTTTAAGAGGAAAATAATCCTTTCCTTAGCTGCCTGGCTCCTCAAGCACATAATAGATCATAATGGTACAACACTTAGTGTATTTTATTTGTATTAAGGCCTAAAAAATTGTGCTACAGTTGATTACTGATAAAAAACGATTTACAAATATTAATTAGCAATGGGAAAGTATAATACATACTCCAAGTATTGAAATACACGCCATCGTGCTGGGATTCAATATTTCGACATTAATTATGTCATCATCAGGAATGAAAAAATTATCCATATTAGCAAGCTTATATGCACTAGTACCAAAACATTACCTCTAGTAGGTGACATAGCAATGGCCTATCACAAAATGCTGAGGCTTAGTATGAGGCTATTTAAATCCTTTCTATCACCTTTTTTATAAATTGGGATTACTACTATTCCATAATAATCAGTGATTATTTTTTACAAGACCGTGGGCAACAAATTGGCTGACACGTAATACATACTCCACTGTCATACTCATCCTCACTGAAGAACCGGAATGCAGTAAACAGTACCTGTGGAAGCATCAATGTGAACCATTGTTTATAGGCCCAATGGAAAAATTACAAGGGCACATAAGGTGCAAATATCTGTTGTTTTGAGCTGCAGAATGAGGCCTTGATTTATTCAATAGTTGGGGTTTATTGACAGATGAAGAAAAATTCCTACTGGAAACAATTTGAAAAATATACCAAACAACATCACTTGACAGTTCTTCGAATATTTCTCTGAGGGTGACGGCATATGGCATGCCACTTTTTTGAATCTCTATTATAAGTGAAAATTAAAAAGATATGGTTTTTTGTTTTATTCTACGACTGCTTTTGCAGATCAAGAGCAACAACTTGCAACAACAGTGAGCTAACTCACTTTCACTTGATCCCAATAGCTGTGTCTTGTGTTCATATGTGTGATTTAATATGCTGATTCATTATTCTCTCATTAATCAAGCTATCGTAAATATGCCTATTAAAGTATTATTAAAGTATTATTAATTCATTAAAGTATTATTCGAGCTCTTATTATTACTGGTATTATTAATATTTTAGACCTAATCAATTATTGATACAATAATGTCCTCTATCATTCAAAACATCCATTTTGATTAATTAAACAACAGCTTTTTGAAAGTGGTATTGCCAATAGGAAACTGCAGTGTTTTGGCACTGCGGCAGTGCCAATAGAAAACAGCAGCTTTTTTCGCACTGCGGCAATAAAGCCAATAGAAAATAACAGCTTTTTTCACATTCTGGCAGTGCTGATAGAAAACAGCAGCTTTTACACACTGCGGCAGTGCTGATAGAAAACAGGAGTTTTTTTTCCGCACTGCGGCATTGCCGATAGCCTCAGCCTGTAACAGCAGTAATTAGGCAGTTGGTAAATAAAACATAAATGACACTTAAATCTAATGATATTTAATGTTATAACATTATTTTCATTGGTCGCTATTTTATTGTATAAAAGAAAAAGCGTTTAGACAAATAAAGAAAATCATGAAAAGAAAGAGGATGATGAGATTTATCACAAAAGAGAATACTTAAACATAATTATGACATGATATTAAATGCTGATGCATTTGGATGATTGTACTGATATCAATAGATAAAATAGATATTAAAAGATGATGGTTAAACAGCAAAAAAAAAAAAAAAGCATTGTATTTTACATTACATGGTGGCTTTGGTGCTTAATATTTTGTTGTGCCTTGATTAAGAAAATTAATGTTATGGTATAAAATTTCAGGTCACCATTGATTTCTTGATAACAGAAAAATCATGGATTTACCAGCAATATCATTATCAAGCAAACATCCAAGTTACTTTACACAGAGCTTTTTTTAAAAATTTCCTTATTGTGTGACATATCTTAAAATATTTGATTTAACTCCGAATTAATTTCTGACATAGCCATTGAGGATAAATATCTAGTCAATTTGGTACCATGGACCTCAATTATTAAAATAACCTGTGGTTAATGTTCAAATACATTTCCAAGAAGCACAATCTGGTGTTATACGTCAGAATTACTAAAAATTAAAAAAACAATATAATAACAACATTGAAATCTTTAAACACTCACTTTCACTTGGTCTCACTAGCTGAGCCTTGTATTCAACACTTGACAGTTCTTCATATGTTCCTTCAAGGCTCATAGTGGATGGCACATCAGGCATGTCACTTTTTTGAATCTCTGTTATAGCTGTAAATTAAGAAGGATATGGTTGTTTGTTTTAATCTACTGCTACTGCAGTGATAGTGAAATAATTAAACTCATATTTACTTGTTCCCACTTTTTAGCTTTTTATCATTATCGTTGCAAGTATAAACAGTATGTTCTAGAGGGGTTAGTGGATGGCATATCTGATGTGTAATATTTTTGTCTCCCTATTGCACGTGAAAAAAATGATGTTTGATTTGAAAAGACGTACATTGCCAAACCAAAATATATTATTTAAATATTTAAACTCACTTTCACTTGTTCCCTCTAGCTGTGCCTTGATTTCATCACTTGACAATTTTTTTTCAGATGATCCTTTAAAGGTCATAATGGATGGCACATCAGGCATGTCACTTTTTTGAGTCTCCATTATTGCTGAAAATTAAGGATGATAATATATGTTTATTTTATTATTATACTGCTACTGCAGAGCAAGAGCAACATCAAGAACTATAATAGTGAAATAACTATAAAGTAGTGTTTGTTCTATAGCTACTGCAACAATATAATACTAATTTCACCAAACTCACTTTCACTTGATCCCACTAGCTGTCTCTTGTGTTCATCAGTTGGTAATCTTTCAGGTTTTACTTCAAGGGTGGCAGGTGATGGTAAATCAGATGTCTCACTTTTTTGAGTCTCTATTATAAGGTAAAATTAAGAAGGATAAAATTTGCAACAAAGAAAGCAACAATTTAATACTAAAATAACTAAACTCGCTTTCACTTGATCCCACTAGCAGTGTCTTCTGTTCTTCACTTGATAATTGTTCAGATGTATCTTCTAAGGTGGCAGAGGATGGTGCATCATGTTTATTAAAATTCATATTACTGTACTGTTGTTTCTGGTAAAGATGTTTACATCACAGACAATTTTTATAAAGCCATTTACCATGAGTATTAGTCTAGGAAAAATTTAGTTAGGGGGAGCGGAATGTTAGCAGCAATCAACATAGCCAGATATCCTAATTAATCCCTCTGGTCACCCTAAGCCCTGTTGACACTTGATTTTATGCCTTGTATAGAAATGGCCGCCATTTTCCAAATGGTCGCCAAATTTATCTAAAATTAGCATAAAAATGGAACCTAATGAGCTGCAGATACGATTTTAGTGTCTAAACTCATAATTTCTAGTCAGGCAACAACCTAGACATATAAAAACTACTGTTGCTCAACATATGCAAAAACTGGTGTTTATTTGTTTTATAAATTAACCGCAAAATATACTTAAAATGTACAAAACAAGAATAAGTATATAAGCTACAAGTACAGTTTGCTATGTAATCCAGCTAGATTTTTGTGCCAACATAAATTTTATTGACTAACTTTATAATTTTTGGTGCACTGAACTTTAAATAGGTGCCATTTTTTCTCCCATCATCAGCTGCCATTTTGAATTTCAAGATGGCTGACGCACCACATAAAACATGGTCATGATTAGTGTCAATGGAAAGGGAAATATACACTGATCATTTATTTTCATTACACTTAAACAACATAATACATATTTACAGACCAATAAAAGTTGCCGTGTTTGATATCATTTAAAAGCTCTGCCAATGATGAGTAATGTTTTACAGTACATACATATCAGAAACTGTGCAGTTTTCCCTATACAGTATTGTCCTGAAAATTCCAATTATGGCATACCATATAAAAATCAAACAGGATACAGTTGCGCAAAACTCATGAGCTCTCAGTGCTTAACACATGTGCTTTCTGGGAGAAGTCCCAATTCAAATGGGTCCCGGAGATGCCACGGGGTTAGTCCCTTTTTACTACACATCACTCTACTAAAACGCTTTGACAATATGGTAACTATTTCAATAATTTTCAAAAATAGGCCAGGGTCTCCCCCACCCACCCCCCAACACTTACTTCATGGTGGCCAATGCAAATATGTTGTGTTTTCTTATTTATTGATGATTCTACATACAGCAAATACTTGTTAACTCTAAACAATAGTATCGTTATGTTATGGGCTATTTAAATGGGTATTTCATTGGCTGATTGATTTTTAAAAATATTCATTAACATTGTCCTTCCAGTGGTACAACAATGAGTCATGGGTAAAAAAATAGAAAAAAAAATTGTTGAGAAAGAAGTAATCTCCTATGAAATAGTTTTTACTTTTCATTTTTTTTTATTCTCCTTTAGTGTAAAACTAAAATTTATGCCACTATTTTTTCATAGTTTATAATAATTAGAGTAATGCAGAAATGTTTTTCTGAAAAAAGTTTTTAGTGAAATTTTGCCAGGAATGGGGCAAATAAGAAATTAAAAATATGTATAAGAATAAACAGTAACATTTAGCATCAAAGAATATTTAGTCGTAGATAAAAAAAAATGCAAAAAGCAAAAACAGGAAAAAATGATATAATAAGTCACGATGATAAAAGAAATTAATCAAATACAAAAGTAGTTTGAAAAAATATCAGATAATAAACACAATGAATAAGAGATAATTACATAAAGGACAACAAAATAATAAACTTGTTTAATGTAGCAGGTAACAGCCAACAAATAATTAATATTTAATTTTATTTATTTAATTAAAACAGACAAATAAATAAAAATAATATGAAAGTGATAAACATATACAACAAAAAATAATCTAAACTATATACTATGTAAAATAAAAGGATGATAGCAGTTTATAGAAAAGGCATTGTGAATTTTGTTTTTTGGACCCAGTGGTTTTGAGACTGAGACAGTCCAAATTTTGTTGAATCCTTCCTATCACTGTTTTTTTCCCTTTTCCCTCCTTTGTTGAGCTTGTTTTCTGCTTTTTGTCCATTTTATTGTACCATTGAGAAAAAATAAATTTAATGAAATAAAAAATGGATGTATAAGATTCTTTATAAGTCTGTACTTTGAGAATTTACTCATCTTACTGTATGTAACATATTCACATACATTAATAGCCACTCTCAGTCATAGGCTTACCCAAAGAGCCGTCCGACCGTCTTTTGAACTGCCTATAATTATTTAGGACGGCCACTTTTACCAAGACGGATTGGACGGCTTGGCCTAATCAGCTTGGCCTAGCCTAATTGGGCCTGCTCCACCTTTAGCAAATTCTTTATATTCTTCAAATCTAATGAATGTTACATTAAACTAAGGCTAAATTATATTTAAGTTTGATAAAAAAAACATTTATTAATTGAATTTACATTGTTTTTGTACCAATATTTGGTTGGAATTGCCAAAAATGGGCGTGGCTCACCCATCGGCTCAGTGCCACGCCCACTGGCTTCCATTTTGGACAGCCTATTTTGTTTTTCTGGCTAAACCCCTACTCTCAGTATACTAGAAATAAATCAAACAACACCTTATAAAGGAGAATTGGAAACTTGAACAAGTCAAGAGAACATCTTATACATATAGGGTACCACGAGAACTATGTTAAAAACCAACTATATTTTCTGAATTTACCCTGTTTTCTTTATTTGCAGTCACATATAAAAGTTAATATAGTTTCTTTTTAAGAGCCTGTCAATATTGTTGAGAATTTGATTACAATTTTAGATGTTGATTTCTTTTTATACTGAATGTGCCATCATATTAGAGTAGAATTAAATCCGGCTGTGTAGCTACTATTTCTTTACATTGTTCCCTAATTCAACTTGTTTAATTGTGCTCTAATATTTTTAAATAATTTTAATGTTCTGTCTAGTAACCAGAATGTATTACTACAAACATTAGATCATACCAGCATATGCTGTATTAGAAGAAAATATTCAAAACCAAAGCCTTGCAGGCGTCAACGTTCCTATGCATGATACATGACTTTATCAGAAAATATAAGGTTGGGTCAAATTTGTGTGGTGGTTTAACTTGAACAATTCAGGAGGAGTGAGTATTTATGGTCCAAAATAGTGATTTTTGAACACATTGTTTATGTTAATTGATAGGCAAATTACAGTTAGTAGAATCATCAAAAAAAATTTTTTTTTTAATTTTGTAGGCGTATGTAGGTATACAGTATTTTCATGTTACAGTAGTTTGAAATGATATCGGGGTGGGGAGCTGGCATGGCCTACAATACTAGACAACAATATATTAAACCACCTTAGCAGGCGTCAACGTTCCTAAGCAGAATAATAGTGAAGTTATATGACTGAATTTATACACAAAATATTTCAATTTGAAAACATATTTAGGCCATTTGCTGTGTTATGCTGTGGAAGCGAAAATGTTGGCCTATAGGACTAATTAATACATCAACTGTGATACTTTTATCACTATGGATTGTTTTTAACTTTCGCAGGGATGTATCCAGGGAGGCGCTGCTTCCCTCCCATCCCAACCCCCTACAAATTTGTACACAGTTTTAATAAAAATTCTTCCCTTAAATCACTCACACTCTTTAATAGTGATCAACAAAACTTAAACTAATATGAAGTAAACAGTTTGGGTCAAATTTCTGTGTAAAAAAAAATATATCAGGCAAAAATAAAATTACAGTATTATAACAATATTTGGCTTTATTTCAAAATTATTATTTACTAAATTCAGTATCAATAAACACAATACAGTACTTTGTTATGTTAGTACTGTTTGCACTAGTATGTTAAGGACACCTTGATATTTTCCACAAGGGCAATGTGGGCCAGTATGATAAGATTGAGTACAATGGGAATAAAGTGATGGATGGCTAGTTAGAAAACTAATCCCAAGGGTATCATTAGGCATGTCACTGTCAGTAAAACAAAATGTCGGAAAACTTTTCCTGAAGATGTCTACACACACACACACACACACACAAAAAGTGAATACAATAGTTCCTATTGCATTACATGCATAGGAAATAAAAATTTAAAAAAATTATTACTGTATATTTTTTGTTTGGCAAGAAACTATTCCAATTCTAGAGAGTTGGTCATGCAAGCCTAAAAAATAATAGTGATTAATTTTTTTTATTGACTACTATATCTGAAAACTATATTCAACAAATAAATTTTGAATATTTGTGTACTAAAATTCCTTAGCAAATGTATTTATTATAAGTATCCAGGCCATGTTTCTTTCTCAAATCTTAGATGATACAAGCTGTATCAGAAGGAAATTGCATGTTAAATAACACAAAACTTCTTTTTTTTGCTAGGAAACCTTTCCCATTTTCTGGTACTATTATTCATATTCAAAAAATTAATTAAAAAATATTTCAATACTAAAAACATTGATCTAAATATCTTGGCCTATTATATAGTAATCATTGAAAATATTTCAAGCGTACTTGTTCTGATAGCGTGAATGTCATTACTTAATACCTAACTTGAGGTTAGTACAAAGTTTAGGTCCATCCTAGACTCTTTCCTAGACCACAACAATGACAACAATTAAACAAAAACAGCAGTAACTGTAATATTAATATTAATATATATATATATATACCAGCAGTAGAAGCAGAACATTAAATAAAGTAGTTTAAAGAAATTCATCTGGTCCTATGTGTAAGTACAATTGGTTTGCCCAGCAGTAGCCTAACCAGGGGATTTTCAAAGTGCTTCAGAATCTACCTTTTTGTTCAAATGTGAATAAAAAATCAATTAAAGGAAATAAGTTACTTTTAGATGTTAACAATCAATTCACTTGCATAGTCACAGTCATCAGCATGCTCCTAGTTTTCTACATTTTACGTAGAGTTCAGTAGATGTACTCTTTCTATTTAGCATCCCACTTTTCAAAATCCTGTACATACCACTGCCCACATTAACTATTTTCTGTACAATAAAGTATTTGTACAAATAACAATAACATAATAAAATAAGACACAAATGCAGGGCTGGAAAAAGTGCACGACTGTGTGACCGGCAGTCGGAGGCATTGACCATTACCCCGGAATCATTTTAGAAAAAAACAAAATTTTTTTTTGTTACACATCACAACTGAATGCATCGGTAATTAATATATGGTTGATCCAAACCACGAAATGTACTACTGTTTAGCTATAATAGTGTAATGATAACATTGTCATTACAAAATAATTATTATTATTTGGTGTTGGAGGCATTTGATCAAGATAATTTTCATGGTCGGGAGGCACAGAAATATTTTTTCTAGGCCTGCACAAAAAAGAGCATTATCTTACCACTTGCTTGTCCTGAGTATGAAGATGGCTTTGGAATGTCTGAAATATACATGTAATTCAATAATGGGTTACAAATACATTAAAGTAAGTTTATATTATTTACCGAAATTAACAATTGGACATTTTTACAGTGATAGGAGAGGAACTTGACATGTTTGGACATGGAAGCCCTTTAGACAGTACTGTAAATGCCCAAATTAAACATGATTATTTTAATACAAATATATATATATATATATCATAAAATACAATGTTTTAATATTAACTATTCTAATTCTTGCAAACAGGAAGGAACAATTACACAAAATTAGCATTCTACAAGCTATCAAGATGCAGATAATTGATGGCTTCTTAAACTTAATATTGTTTCACTATAAATAAGATCATTGTGGGGCAGAAAGGTTGTGTATCTTTTGGATAGCCCTCATAGTAGACCACTTACTACTGGTAAAAAAAAAAACTATTAAAAATGCAATTTTTCTGTGGATGGCCACATTACTGGTTACTCACGTTACATTTTGTCCAATAAAATTTTATAAGTACATGTGACTATAATTCAGTCATTATTAATAGCTTGGTCCCAACATTAACTATTTTCTGTACAATAAAGTATTTGTACAAATAACAATAGCATAATAAAATAAGACACAAATGCAGGGCTGGAAAAAGTGCACGACTGTGTGACCGGCAGTTGGAGGCATTGACCATTACCCCAGATTCATTTTAGAAAAAAAAAAAATTTAAATTTTTTTTTGTTACACATCACAACTTAATGCATATCGGTAATTAATATTTGATATGGTTGATCCAAACCACTAAATGTACTACTGTTTAGCTATAATAGTGTTATGATAACACTGTCATTACAAAATCATTATTACTATTATTAAAATCATTATTATTATTTGGTGTTGGAGGCATTTGATCAAGATAATTTTTATGGTCAGGAGGCACAGAAATATTTTTTCTAGGCCTGCACAAAAAAGAGCATTATCTTACCACCTGCTTGTCCTGAGTATGAAGATGGCTTTGGAATGTCTGAAATATACATGTAATTCAAGAATGGGTTACAAATACATTAAAGTAAGTTTATATTATTTACCGAAATTAACAATTGGACATTTTTACAGTGATAGGAGAGGAACTTGACATGTTTAGACATGGAAGCCCTTTAGACATTACTGTAAATGCCCAACTTATACGTGATTATTTTAATACAAATATATATATCATAAAATACAATGTTTTAATATTAACTATTCTAATTCTTGCAAACAGGAAGGAACAATTACACAAAATTAGCATTCTACAAGCTATCAAGATGCAGATAATTGATGGCTTCTTAAACTTATTGTTTCACTATAAATAAGAACTTTGTGGGGCAGAAAAGTTGTGTATATTTTGGATAGCCCTCATAGTACTGTAGACCACTTACTACTGGTTAAAAAACAAATATTAAAAACGCAATTTTTCTGTGGATGGCCACATTACTGGTTACTCACGTTACATTTTGTCCAATAAAATTTTATAAGTACATGTGACTATAATTCAGTCATTATTAATAGCTTGGTCCCAAAGAATGCTTACAAATACAAATGCTATGTACTTCAGCTTATTTTCTTCATAAAATTTTATTTTTGTTCACTTTTGAAAACGAAAACATCAAACGATCATTTTCAATATTTTACATGTCATGCATGCCCTTTCTACAGTGTGCATATATAGTATCATAATTTGAAATTTGCTTATGGGCACACAAATCACAGCTCATTCAGAACCCAAAAAAATCTGTAATTCAACAGGTTTAAATTTTACCAAATCCAACATAATGGAGGAAAAAAAAAAGAAAATTGCATTCAAAGTTTGAGTATGACAGTGCTATTTCCGGCCACCTAAAAGTATTGCAGACATAAAACTTTCAAACCTCAGCCCTAATCATGGTGGGCTGAGGTGGTCTCGACCTTTATCTGTAAAATTGACTTTCTGGGCCCCCTATACATTATGTCACATTCCAGGACCCGCCACTGTGTATTGTTGAACTTTAGTGGCAAATCATCTTAATTTGCCAATAATCTTATTGTAGGAATATCGACGATGAGTAATACTTAGATTTGGGGTCCGTGAAGTTTTAACATTTCCAAAGAGGTCGGCAAATGCAAAAAGGTTGAGAAAACATGTCAGGTCTACAGCATTTTTACTTTCACACCATTTCTTTCGACTAAATAAGTACTGTATTATACTCAGATAGAAACAAGCATGTCATGTTTATAAAAACAAGAGTGACCTCTCACCGGGTCCTCACGTTCCTTCACGCTTAAATATGGTACAGGTGCAAGTTATTATATTGGGTTTTTTGGAAGAGCTAATATGGTAGAAATTTTTAAATAATTAGAATGTTTATTTGTACAAATAAAATATTATTTAGATTGATCATTTGTACAAAATTAAAATATTCAAAATAAAAAAAAAAGAAAATGAATACCAAGACGCGATTCAAACTAACGACCTTTAGAACACATCTTTCACCGACCATGCCATTCATGTGCCCTATTAGTGGTAATGGCAATAATGTACAGTCCTTGCTGAAACCCCTGTTTTGTTTTGTAGGTGTAGGGGAACCCTATGGTCCAACGTAAAAAAAAAAGCACAATGAACGTTAGTTGGAAATCACCTCTAGTTTAATATTATGTATACAAAATTTCCGGCACGTCTGTTCAAAACTGGCGACGCTGGATGCTTTGTTTTAGTAACAAGAACAAGAACAAGAACAGCAGTGAGGATCTGGAGTAAGCACTTTGTGTGGACCCAAAAAGAAATGATATATATTTTTACAATTTTAATCCAACTCATTTTCACATTTTCTCACCTTCTTCCTTCAACTTTTTGAGAGCAGCTTTGTATTCATTTTCATCGATGCATGTCATCCATTCATCTAAGAACTCCTGCTGATGTTTCTCTGGGACTAATATTCTTGCTAAATCTCTGATGAGCTTCCCACAAGAATGGACTTCCCATAAATTCATCAAAGCATCAGGATCATGTGTTGATAGATGAAATACTACAGATCCCTCTTCTACTTCATCCAAAATTACAGCAAGTTTTTGGAAAAGTAAGACACTCTTTTTAAGTAGCGGTGCGGAAATTTCTTTTGAAATATCTTTAGAAGCTGCAATATCTTTTTTATACTTATGAAGTTCAGTTAACAAATGAACAAAATATTTAGAATTTGGCTGATCATCTAAATTAGAAGAATCTATCTTCCGCTTAACAGTTACTTTTAAACCTGCAAATAGAAGAAGAAATATAAAATGTAACACATGAAGAGATATAATCAAAATCATCTTGCGTTAATGCTTAAAATAATAATAATTGTAAACAGTAAAGAAGAGGAATCTGCGTGTGTTACTATTCCATTGTTTCAATGGTAAATAGTCATCAGCGTTAAGAGGAATTTTTTTTAAATTTTATTTTAAACATATTTAATGAAATACTGTAATTCATTCGGGATTTACTTTACCAATTTAATCAAAAGAAAAAATTCAGAAATAACCTTCAGTGTTTATATTAATCAATCCCTTACATATAATTAATTTATACCTATTTTAAATAATGTATGAAATAATATATAGAGTCATGGTCATGTCCATTTATCTTCTGTAAATATTATGTAAACAGAAAACCAGTATTAAACAAAAATACATGATTGGTTATATTGAAACTTTATTACCTTCACGATGTCTTTTTCTAAAGGTTAACAATACACTTGAAATATCTGTAAATGAAACATACCAGTCATTTTAAGTAATACAAATATAACAAATTCACTTTATTTTTAAATAGTTATAAAATCTTAACATTTTATAGGATATTATCTAGATGCTTGAAAATAGCACTCAGACTTCAGAAGTAATAACTTTGTTTTTTTGTGAAATTGAGCAAAATTTCTGAGCATTTCAGAAATCAAATATTATCACATGGAAAATTTAAAACTAAAAAAAACAAAAAAAAAACTGGTGTAATTATTAACCGTTTGTTGGTATGAATGCAATTGCGGCTGGACAACAATTGGATGCAAACATTTGAAAATTTTCTAGGAGATAGTCTTAACTTAAATAGGTAAAGTATGGTATGTAAATAGGGTAAGAAGACACAACATTTAATAGACATTGCACCTATGAGATGGCCAGATATCATTTTTCAAATGATGGCTAAATAAAATAATAATAATAAAAGAGGCCTATTTAATACAGGGGTAATGATTGACTGTCATTGAGCATACTTGATGATCTTGATGTTCACTTTTTTTATTAGAAAAAGAGGCCAACTGACTCTAATAGATCTATGCTCTAACTAAAAATTTAAAAAAAGGTAATATATTTATCTCAGCAAATGGTGTCTATTCTATATGGGTGGTACAATGTCATATTGTAGGAATCTTTATGAGGGCCAGATCAAGCTGCTAATATTTTAAATAGCATGGAATATTTTGGGTGGAAATCAAGCGAAATTATGATACTGTACTATCACTAAAATTCAATTACTACCGAACATGGATTAATATTAATGTGATTTTATTCAAATTTCTGTGACTTAACCTCCTTAATTAGTATTAGCAAAAATATCATATCCAGTCAGATAAGTATTTATTAGTTTTTAAAAGTTTTTTCTTTCATTTTAGACAAGATGCTGCATCAGAGTCGAAACATTGACTAAATACCTATAACACCTGTAATAATGGAGCAATTTGAGGGCTTGTTCGTTCATAGGTTTGTATGAACCATAATCGATTCTAGTTGCTCTTATTAACTGACTGGAACAGTCGTAGCATTTATAATCCACGGTGAAGAGAGGCAAAGATAAGTAAAGTGTCTTGCCCAAGGACACAAGCAAATTGACAAGCATTGGTCTCGAACTCCTGATCTTACTGTACAATCAGAAGTTCAACAGCTTACATGCCACGCCACACACTCCCACAAGTTGAGGGCTGTTTATTGGTATAAGATCAGGATCATCTGCTATGCTTGGAAAATGGTTTTAGTCACTTCTCAATTCTTTCCAAAGAAAACCTTATGTGTGGCATGGCGGGATATGGACTATAACCAAGATTGAGAATATAAATGCTTTCTTCAATGAACACATTCTGGGATTGTTTACTGAGATTGTGAAAGTTTTTTCATTACTTTTGATGATGGCTTGTACAGTAGGTCCTGGTTAGTTTTTCTGAGTGGGTATCCATAACCGTCTTTCTTTTGATAAAGTTCCAAACCTTTTTTGACACCCAATTATTTCAAATACATCTTTAAATGGGTTCCTCAGTAGGAAAGTTAAGCTGTGAAAAATGTTACAAAATGCATGTAAGCTAAATCAATTTAAAATGTTGTAACTTCCTAATCATAATTATATTTCTGCCTATGGGTTATGTTGGCCTAAAAGATTGATTAAGGTGCACCTGTAGTCTTATAGCAACTTGAAAGATTATTATAATCAGTCATGTTTTCATAGCATTTGTACTACTCACTACATCTTTAAAATTTTTAATGACTGCAGAAATAATGTGTCATTAATTTACAATATTACAATATCAACATTTATTAAATTATCTGAAAAAACAAGAAATAGAGTACCTTCTGTTAGAGCTTTCACAGCTCGTTGGAGTTTGAGTTTCTTCAAGGTTTTGGTAAAATCGTTTATGTTTTCTTCACAAATAATCATTTTATATTCTAGCTCCATAATCAAACTCCAGCTGTTTGTATGTTTTACATCATAATGTTGACTGAGCCTTTCTACATCACGTGGAATCAGCGACATTCCTAGCTGCACAAGTCTTAGCCGATACGGTGTGAATTCCGTAAATACATTATCCCATGTATCTTTAGGAAAATGGAATGATGGCACCTGTTTTTTAATTTCTTGTTCCAGGCCAAATTGCTGTGTTGCCTTAATAGTATCATAAAGGAGGGCGAGATCAGTTGGACTCAGATTTCCAAAACTAATCAGCATATTAATTAAGTCCATTGTTTTAGAAGCCACATGCAATGCAAAAGTATCTCCTACATGGTCACTGTACAGAACTTTCAGCATATTGATGTCTATGTTTTTATCAAACCATTCTGACACAACCATCTTAAGATCTGCAAAATCTTTTTCTTCTATGATTTAAATGAAAAGAAATGTTTGTAAAAAAACAACAATGGAATGACAAATTGTTTAAAATCAATTTCACCATCATACTGTAAAACATGTTGATCACAAAACAGCAGAAGAATGTTGACATAAATTAAATATCTTATTAGTTTACCTTTACTTGTTTCCATCTTCAGTGTTTACTTGTACAGCTACTGCATCACTCTTTATTCATTCCTGAAGTAAACAATAATAACTCAATCAGAAAAAAGGAAAGAAATAGCGATTTGATATCAAATGCTTAAATAAGAATTTGTTATCATTTTTACTGTAGAGTTTCCCTACTTTTTTTGATCTGTATTATAAACATGTCAACTTCTCTCAATTCAGTTTTATGTTAAAGTAATAAAATATATAAAATTTTAATTTAAATACAGTGACATTGTATTTTTAGTCTCCACTCAATCTTAAGTGAATGCGAGGCTTGGTATTTGAAAATGTACTTTAATAAGTTCTATAGATGGAAGGGCCTGTAATAAAAAATGTTGGCAAGGAACTAAAATTAGTTTACTGGACCAAAACAAAATAGTAACCACATGCACTGTACAGTTGGCCTAATATTATTCAATATTACTCTGAATACAACATCTGTATATAATCGATTACAGTAATTTGATTGGTTAAAAACAGGTCACGTGAGATTGATTTAAAATATCTATTCCACGGTTATTTAAGTACTAGTCAACGATCGTTGAATAGTACTTTTTCATCTCCAAGACAACAAAAATCTGAATTCAATGCGACGTAAGCGAGAAAGAAAAATTAGCCTAGCGTAGATACAGCCCGCGTGTCAACAAGGATTTAATCATTCAGTAGCCCTTGCGCCCTGATGAGAAAATGGTTCGGCTTTGAGGCTGAATGAAAGTGATGCCAAATCAACAAAAGCCAATAAAATAACAGTAACTCATAAAAACCCTGCGAGCAAAGAAGATATGACGAAGATTTTGCTATTGTTAGATACAGCAGCCTAGGCTAGGCCTACATCCGAGGGCCTACAGGAAAAGGTAGGGAAGAGAGATACACAGGTTTTTTATAAAACAAATAATGAATGTTTCTCATTCGTACAATGGGATATAATATTTCATTCGGTGAAAGATTCTACCCCATTGTACTTATAAACATTTATTATTTGTATAATATTCCATGATAGTGGGTAACGAAAAGAATTTCCACTTATGATAATAAAATTTTGAACTGTATCTTTGTAATTTTTTGTTTGTTTTTGTAAATTTGAAATGAAAAAAAAATTATATGATATATGGAACATTTTTACCGGGAGTGGCACCAGGATTTGCCCGAAGGGGGCTGATGTCTCCAGCGAGTGCAAAGTGGGCATGGTCAGGTGTCACTTTATTATCAATTGTCTCACGGAAATCAGTGCCTATGGGTATTCGTCATAAGCAGCAAAGTAAAATAAATATATTATAAGAAAGCTCATTTAACCAGATCTCCTGGAAGAGATTTCTTCCAACTTGGGAACCCTACTATCATCAGTCAATATAGAAAATTCAAGTTTAGTGGTAAAATGCGAGTAAAAACAGCTAGAAAGAAGATTAACATGATTATACATCTAATTAAAATACATAAATCTATCTGGATGGGAGAGACATATGACTGTAAGAAAAAGACAGACAATTTTATGTCCCAATATATTTAGGACTACGAGGGGGAGGGGGAAAAAATCACTCATTTCCCCCTATATTATTCACCTCTTCCAAATGGCAAACGAATAAACCAAATTCAATCAAATTTGATCATTAAGAACCAGTGAAACCTCCTACACCCCTGTCTGTCATCAGTGGTTACATGGGGGTCATCGGGGTCAAATTTTCAAAATAGCCCTATTGAGTTTGAATTTACCAGGAATGATCATTAGGGCCTTATAAACATGAAAAACTACTCTTCATCTATAGGTAAAAATTCACAAGGGTTACTATAGTGAAAATTATTGCTAGTGACTAAGTATTGGACCAGTTGCATTAGAACATGGGGTGTTCACAGGTTGAGGTTAAAGGTCACAGTGGTTATCTCTTAAAAAATGACTAGGTTCATGTTCAACTGAACATAGTATCTCTAGTTGTTTTTGTTTTTTTCAAATTAGGTGTACTACTGTTATTTCTGGCAAACCTTTTGGGTCTGCGCAAAGCGCTGAGACCAGAGCCTCACTGCTGTACATGTTCTTGTTACTAGAACTTTAAAAGCGTCCAGCGTCGCCAGTTTTGAACAGATGTGCAGGAAATTTTGTACACAAATAACTAGGTGATTTCCAACAAACGTTCATCGCCTTCGTTCAAGTTGGACCCCAGGGTTTCCCCTACAAAACAAAATAACTGAAATTAGGTAGTTTTCGACGTTAACTTACCTAGGCCTATAGTGACTAGTGTCTGTTAATTTCATTATTTTACGTGCTTGAATACATTAGTAATGGGTTTACGTATGCATATTTCAATTTTTTTTACCGAGTTATCGCGTTGCATGTCGGGTATTAACATTAAAGTTAAGATTAACGGCGTGCGGCGAAAACTACTCTAATAATAATATATGACCCGGCCTACTTAAGAACCTAAGAACTTTCATTCCATAAATTCAATAAATGGCTTGTGAACAGCAAAACATCAGACTTCGGAGCTTCATTGAGGAGGAGGGAACCAGTCAATTCGAGCGGATGCCACTTCGAGCAAAGGCCAATTCGAGCGGAATTTTTTTCGAGCGGATGCTAGTTTGAGCGGAAGAAGATCCACTTGTGCGAACAACCACCTGTACAAGTTATATACGAATTACTTCAAAATTATATTTTTGAGCTAAAAATTTGACATGTTCAAAGGGGAAGGGGGGCACACAACAGTTCCAGAATAGATAAGTGAGTAGCATAACTCAATTACAAATATAATTTGCTTTTTTAAATACAGAACCCCAACCAGTGGCGGATCTGGGGAAGGGGGAGGGGTGGTGAATAGGGTGGCTAGCCACCCCACTTTGTTTACCGTGAAAAAAATAATGGTTATTCGTCTTGTGTGTGTGCTTCTCGTGCACTCTAGTAAAACATACACTTTCTTCTTTTTTAAGCTGAAAAGTGCGCAATTCTATTATAGTTTTAACTTGTTAGCGGTCATCTTGGTAGTCGGAGTTGCCAAGACTGTAATTCAAACATGGAGTAATTATCAAAAAGTACTAAAAACCTTTCAGAACCTTAGTAATCAGAGCATTTTTTTGCATTTAAAACAAACAAATACAAGAATACGGCGACGATAAATTCGCCCTTGTTATAGTTCGCACTAAATGTTCGAACTGGCATCCGCTCGAACTGGAATCCGCTCGAACTGACATCCGCTCGAATTGACTGGTATTCGAGGAGGATTTTCTACCTCATCCCCACAAGAACCCCACAGGGCAGCTGGCTTCTCCCATGAGTACAACAGGCGTGTCGTCATGATGCCAGGTGGTGCTCTCTGTTGTCAACTGACGTTGGGTACTGTTCATTACGCCTGAACAATTTCATAGGCTTTCTGGAATAGGCATTTTAAAATCTAATATTTTACCCTCAAAATGTACTAACAACACAAAGGTCACATTATATTAGTTATCGAACACACATTTAATCATCGATTAACATTTACAAAGACAAAGATACAACATCTTAATAATTACGTTAGAAATTCTAGAAATTGGGATTAATGGTTTGTCAGTGAAGAAAATGGCATCTGGTTGAACGCATTTTGCAACGATAGCAACGGAGTAGTATCACGTGGTATTGTGACGTACCAAAGATAATAAATAGCAGAAGATAGAGCAGCTTCCCAATATAGTGGAACATCCATTCCAAAGTCATTGTGGGTACACGGAGAGCAATTTTATCCCATCCGCGCGGCGGCGCTATATAGCAATAATAAAGGTGCCGCTCTGGTTCCTTTGTTTCCTGTAGTTTCTCCACTTGGTAAAATGGTCATATTTTACCCCATTCGCAGGAGGGCGGATGTTCCATCGATTTTAATGCAAATAGCCTACGCAGAAAAGCACATTCTTCTGCTATTTAAGTTCTTTGACATAACACAGTAGTAGTAGTACTCTATAGACACCACCGACACCACCATAAAGACTCGCAGCTACCAGACGATCGCCCGGAGCAAATTTGGAGCAAATTTTCCCCCTCCCTGGACCCTGACGACAGTTCTGCTGGCCTAGTGGTTCAGACACTATTCTCCACTCTGGTTTACCAGACAAGATGGAGAGACACTAGTCACTAGGCCTATATTATTATTATTAGCCTATCTATATAGTATAGGTCTATAGGGGCCTAGGCTAGGCCTACCTATTTAGGTAGGCCTACCTAGGCTAGCCTAATATTAATAATATAAAGGCCTAGGCCTAGGCCTAGGTACGTATGAAGGAGGTTCTCCCTGGCCTCAAACTAAGACTATTACGTAACAGTAAAGATAATGGCCGTCCGTACTCAGAGTTATGAACAACCAAATAAAATTAACAATTGTGAACAATATACCTAACAGGCTAGGCCTAAGGTACTAGGCCTAGGCTACATACAAAGCAAACTTCCTCCACCCGAACATGGCGTCGCGTCGTCCTATCAAACAGTATGGAACGCCGTTAGTATCTTCGGTTATGTGCAAACACTCTATTATGTGCAATCGCCATGACGTTATGAGACTGCTACCCAACTGCTACTATTTTACTATTTGGTCGAATGAAACGAAACAAAACGATTAGGGCCTACTCTTCTGTTATTTATATATTTTATTATTATTATATTATTATTATTGTCTGTTATAGATATTATCAGGGAATTGTTTCTTCTTGTATGTCTAAAATAAATTTTAAATGGAGGTCTAAAAAAAACTATAAAAAGGTTAAGCAATAAAGTATTTTTTACATTTTTGTTCGGATTACCTTCCCAGCTTGCTCTTATTGGTACACAAACAGAAAGAATCATAATGGTCGGAAATGTCAAAAAATTTTCACAACATGCATCTCAGTTTAAAAAAAAAAAAAAAAGATTGTAAATTGATTATCATCAGTGACGATATGGTTAACTGGAAATCAAAAGTTGTTGACATTAAATCAGATCTGTATATGCACATCTTTCGTAATCCCAGAGACCATGAAATGCCATGGAAATAAATCAAGCTATATAAGTCATCATTGATAAGCGGTTTAGTATGGTGGTTATGAAGGAGACAAAAAATACCCTTGCGACTTCATGAATCACGCTTGCAAGATTGCAAGTCGCTCGGTGTATTTTACTCGATGATGAATTAACGTTAAACTAAACCCAACAAACCAAGACTTTGATACCTTGATATTACCATCAGTCATTATCGTCATCAACACAACCATCATCAACATCATCATCATTGTCGTCATCGTCATCATCAACATTATTTGGCAACGCATAATGTAATAAAAAGCGACTAAAATTTTAAGGTGAAACAGGAAGTTTTATTAAAAGTATAAAACAAATATACACATTATATTGATTTGTAATGGAATTGTAAATATGTTACTTGTTCTTTTCAAGCAGTAGGTCTAGTTAAAAATAATTTACAATTCCATTTCTTAATTATTGTGGGTTAATAACAACATCCATTACTGTCATATACTCTGAAATTCATTGCAAATTGTCACCAGGATGAGTGCACAATGGGTTAGCAGCAGGATAACATTGTTATTACCAATAATATAACAATGAAAATGCCTGTTATTATCCTGCAATTACATAGAAACACCACAGAACGCTTCTAGCAACCTACATCTCATGTGCAGGCCTAATACAGATTAGAACTGGAGCTAAACTCACGTTGAAAATTCAAACAAATTTGAATGTCTACTGCTGAAATGTGAAACCACTGCATCTGAAAAACCATGTATACAAATTAGGAAATGTATATTTTATCAGCCATAACATAAAATGTATCTAGGGCCTATTTCTATTTTAAGGACAGGGTTCACCTAGCCATTATGAAAATGCTTTGTAACAGAATAGGATTTTTATTGCCTTATGCCTTACAGCAATCGACAGATATGTCATAATTTATTCATCATGTTTCATGAAGAAAGATTGATCTTTATAAACACTCTTAAATACTGATTACAAAAAATAATTAAAAATATTCTTTATAATCATTAATAATCACAATAATGAAAAACATTTAATTGTTTTTGTATTGTTACAAAGCTTTTTAATTTAAAGAACATAATTATATCAACAAGGCATCCGTAAAAACCAATAAACATACATATCAACTTTTAACATTTAGATGATAAGTAACAATTTTTTTTTTTTTTTAGTACCAACTAAAATTACACTGTAATGTATCTCCATCTAGGACCACAAAAAATAAATCCTTTCTCAAAACACATAAGCAATGAATTAGCATAGGTTATATTGAAAAGCACTGGTCATATTTGTATATTTTATTTATTTATGAAAATCTGGTAAACAATAGGCCACATGGGGTAGCCAGATACCCACGTAGTCATCATGATTCGTGGCTAATAATTAGTCTCCTCCTTACCTAAGCTTCATATATAGACATACAGTAAATCAAGAAAAACAAAATAAAATTCATACAAGACCGTAAAAATTTAAATTTTAAATTAAATTAAATTAAATTTTTAAGATATTCAATTAAATTTTATTTAAATTTGATTATAATTATTCCAGAATAAAGTTAAAATGTTATTAGAATGAAATGTTTGATTTTAAGGACTGAGTGAAAGCTTATGAAAAAAAATCTTCTTTATACCATATAACCAGCTACAGTATATACCATACATTAATAATATAAAATAAACTGAAAAAATGCATTAAATTTCCATTGCTGAAATACAGACATGAAAAATTACAATCAAATACACTTTATATTGTTTGAAGATTTGCATGGTTTTGCATGTTAAATTAAAATACACTTTGCTAGTACTATTCCAATAAAACAGTTACATCACAAGTAGTATGTATATTTTCTTGCATTCAACTGTCATACATATCAATAGCCACTTCAATGTATTTAGGCTATTATGAAAATAGTACATTTACTTTTTCATGTTAAAATCCTATTATGGCGAGGGTGACCTTTGATTTTGGTGAAATAAAATAAGAAAAAAAAAACAAACTATGAGGCTGGGTTTATGTAACTTGTCTAAAACTTGTCGAGACTTCTAATTTAAGAGCTACAGCAAGCAAGTGGCAAGTGAGGAACATTTGATGTTGAGTCCCCTTCTATAAAACTTTTTAAACATATCATCCATAATAGCACCTGATAGACTGCAATTACTGATGTCAAGATCATTCAGCTTAGGAGCTAAAGCAAACAAAGTGGAAAGTGAGGAACCTTTGATATCATTGAGGTTATTACCATTGATATTAAGATATTTCATTTCCAACACAACTTCTTTACTAGAACACTCTTTAACCATATCATCCATAATAGCACCTGACAGACTGCAATTACTCATGTCAAGATCATATAGCTTAGGGGCTACAATAAGCAAAGTGGCAAGTGAGGAACCTTTGCTGTCTTTGAGGTTATTTTTACTGATATCAATTTCTGTTAATTGCAATACAACTTTCCTACTAGAATGCTCTTTGACCATATCATCAATAATAGCACCTGAAAGACTGCAATTACTCATGATAAGATCATTTAGCTTAGGAGTTACAGCCAGCAAAGTGGCAAGGGAAGAACCTTTGATATTATTGAGGTTATTTTCACTGATATCAATTTCTGTTAATTTTAACACAACTCCGTTTCTTGAACACTCTTTGACCATTTCATCCATAATAGCACCTGTGAGACCACAATTACTTATGTCAAGATAATTCAGCTTAGGAGCTACAGCCAGCAAAGTGGCAAGTGAGACACCTTTGATGTCACTGAGGTTATTTCCACAGATATTAAGATATGTCAATTTCAACACAATTCTTCTACTAGAACACTCTTTGACCATATCCTCCATAATAGCACCCGACAGACTACAATTTCTAATGTAAAGGCTTAATTGTTTTGAAGCAAAAGACAGCAAAGTGGCAAGTGAGGATCCTTTGATGTAATTGAGGGTATTTTTACTGATATCAAGATGTGATAATTCTCCCCTACCAGAACATTCTTTGACCATATCATCCATAGCATCTGAGAGACTGCAATTTATCATGTAGAGAGTATTCAACTTAGGAGCTACAGTCAGCATAGTGGCAAGTGAGGAACATTTAATGGCATTAAGGTTATTTTCACTGATATTAAGTCTTTTTAATTCCAAAATAACACCTTTACTAGAATAATCTTTGACCATATCATCTATAATAACACCTGACAGATTGCAATTACTCATGTCAAGATCATTCAGCTTAGGCGCTACAGCAAGCAACATGGAAAGTGAAGAACCTTTGATGTTTTTGAGGTTAGTTTTACTGATATTAAGTTTTGTTAACTTCAACACAACTCCCCTACTAGAACACTCTTTAACCATATCATCCATAAAAGCACTTGACAGACTGCAATTACTCATGTCAAGATGAATCAGCTTAGGAGCTAAAACAAACAAAGTGACAAGTGAGGAACCTTTGATGTCATTGAGGTTATTTTCACTGATATCAATTTCTGTTAATTCCAACATAACTCCTTCCCCATGCATTGCATCAACAATCTTTTCCACAGTAACACCTGTTATATTACAATTGAATAAAATAAGATTCTCAAGTCTTGATGCATTAAACAGCAGATGAATTAAAAATAATACAGTGACTTTGGACCTATAGTCATATTCTGTAATATTATATTTGAAGTTTAATTTCTTACATTCACCTGATAAACTACTGACGACATCATCAGTACATAATTCATGGATTTCCCCCAAAACATCCTGTTCATCTTCTACAGCAATTAAAACATGAGCAAAAATTTTGCCAATGTCTTCAGATGATTGTATTTTCAATTTATTTAATAGATGTTTTTTGTTTCTCCAATTTGTTTCGTTACTCATAAGTTGAATGATCTGCTCATCTGAAATTATCTCTTCATTAGGGATCATATGATAACCAAACATCCTTAGTGAGTTGCATATGTCTACTATGTGACTTTCATAATTCATAGTACCTTTGCTTGGCAACTCTTGTGAGACTGATGGCTGACTCTCATCCATACCTAAAAAAACAAAAAATTTTTGATTTAAAGTATATTATTGAAACTCAATATAACAACTCACAATACTGTTTTTCAATTTAATATGAGACACTCCTGGAGTCAAGATAAAAATGATTTTGTGTAATTGCCTTCCAGGCAGTGGTGACTTCAGATATTTGTCAACAAGGCATCGGACATGTGTGACAGGAGGGTCCAAACCAAGGGACCGACTAGCCTCGGTCAGGCTCAAGGAATAAATATCCCTTGTAGGGTTAAAAGGGGGATTTTCTATGGTTTAGTATGGCCCAAATTGTGGTTTTAGAACATAATATTAGAGATTCAGGCCCGTAGCCAGGTCATTTCAAGGGGGGGGGGGGTTTCTGGGGCGTGGGGTCCAGGGGGCCTGCCTAAGGGCCCCGGTGGGGTCGGAAGCCAGCAGTTTTTGTGTTTAATAGGTCTATATAATGTTATAAAAGCAGTTATATTTTGAAAAAGATCTATGTAATAAAAAGGTGGTAATATAATAAAATTAGAAAATATTTCGTGAGTGGATTTCCCGTACGATCAAACATTGTAACGTTACTGGGTTTGGTCTACAGGACTTCGTGCTTCGAACAGGTCATTCAATTCATAGAAGAAGCCTTTTGATGGAGAAAGTGTACTTTTTTGGCAAAGGTTTGCCTAGGTCGAAACTAACTCCGGCTATATAAAAATTGATTAGAATATTGAAAATGTTATTCGTGTAAATGAATAGATAAAGATTACTAGGCCTAATATGTCCATTTTTATTGATCTAATCTACGTATATTTACTTTACTTAGTTTATATTTAAATATTTAAAATTGTTTATAAATTTATCTAAAATACTATATGAAATAATGTAATCATTAAAATCTATGATAATAATTGATATTTAAATAAAGCAAAAGATTGAAACATGTTAAATACAGACACAAATTTTACATAGACCTATTTCTAGATTACAGAAATTATATAAATTTGTAATAAAATGATATACATTTATATATATATATATATATATATAATAAATAAATAGAAATATGCGTAAATATGTATTTAGTATAACAAATTAAATTTAAACCAAAATATGGAAGAAGCATAGGAAGAAAGAAGAATAGGAATTAATTGAAAATGAACAATAATAATCTTTTTTTTTTCATCATTGCATCTCGTTTTTGTGAAAATAACCCACCTTAAAGGTACTATCTGTCGTTTTCTTCTTTGCCACAATGGACGAAAAAAGTAAGTTATTCTACGACGTTTCGTAATTCTTTATCACTAAAAATTAACAAACACGCGTTTTGACGCACTCCGTTCTGTTGTGTGTGTGTCTGCTATTGAAAACAACCTTCCTAATTTTGTGACTGGCTATGATGACTGAGATGGACCATGTTGACTTATTAATAATATTTTGTTTGGGATGGAAAAAAAGGAGTCAATTTCCCAAAAATGCTCCATCAGCAATCAGTCCAGAATCAGGTGATTAAGTCGCAAAACTTTAGCTGCATTTGGTAGATTAAGTCACAAAACTTTAGCTTCGTTTAGTGGCGGCATTTACTCTAGGTAGACGGCGACCAGTTTCGTTACCGGTTGGTACATTCTTACAAACATTCAGGCAAAGTTAGGCATAACCAGGGGCGGATTTGCGGGGGGCCGGCCCGGCTCCGGCCCCCCCTTTTTGGAGGTAAAAAAAGAAAAAAAAAAGAAAAAAAGAGAGAAAAATAAAAAAATGATGGCCAAGAATGCCTCAAATGTTATGTTCGGGCGTCTAGAACACAAACATTTTGACCCCCTACGACAGTGTTGTCTCAATCGACCCAACTTTCGGCCCCCCTTCCGGGCCCCCCCCCCTTTTAGACATTTCTGGATCTGCCCCTGATAACAGCAAACTTTTTTTGGTCAGCTTGATTAATTCGTCAAGACATCGGACAATTCACACATTTAAACCAATATCTTTATTATTTCTGATCTCAGAGTCCATGTTATGAAACTCAGGGTCTTGTTTGAGTTGTGGTTTGGGTGTTGAGAACCAGGAGGTGAACTTATCAAGCTTGCTTAGGGAAAAAACAGCTTAAATTGTCTTAAATTCAATACTTTGCTTAAGTTGGATTTATCAATAATTATCAAATATATTTGGCTAAATAAACTGGCTATAACTGAATTAATCACCATTAAACTGTTGATATTTGAAAGAAGCCAATACTTAATTACTAGGAATAGAAGCAACACTCGCATTATAAAGAACATTGTATGGCCATCTAAACATCCACGTATTTAGTACATTGATATTAATCACATACACAAAGACCAACTTAAAAATTCAATCATGCATTCGCCAGGACAAACTAATTAAAATTCAGTATTCAAATCTTTCCCACACATCTGGAATACTTTGCAAAAAGAAATAAGAGATGGATTCATTTTTAATTTAAACATATTTATTAACACTTTCACTTTGAGAACTAGAAATTGTAAATACATAAAAAAAAAAAATTAAACATGTTAAAAATCTTATTTTACCTTTATGTTGCTTTTATATTATTTTGTTGCTATAAGTGGCACTTTGGAGAGCTCCCAGATAGTAGCCTTAAAATGCCACTTTGACAGGTATTATGGTCATTAAGTTCAGAAGACAATTGCTACTTTATTCTATTCACTGTAGGGTCTGTAGTATATTTAATGCAAAAATCATTATTATGTACATGGTAACAATCACAAACATTTAATACAGAAGGTAAATTGTCTTGTCTAACACTTAGGCCTAGTTCAGACTAGGTGAATAAACCCGGCTTAACTCACCGAGTTTATCCACGTGCCAGTCTGAACTAGGTGGCTTATGTTTGTAGCTGTGTTCCTATAGTAACTAGGCCTGGCGTGCCACCGTGTTTAACTTTTCTAAGCCGGGCTTTAATCACTGCGCCCGGCAAAGTTAAGCCAGGCTTAACTTTGAGCCAGGCTTAACTCAAGCCTGGCTTATCTTCAAGCCTGAACGTAGCCTACAGCCATGCTTCCTAATGCTATTATGTCTTTGTACCTATGAAAATATATAGGCCTATTAAAAAAAACCCACCTTGACTTGATTTAATGAAACTTGGTTCAATGGAACTTGATTTCGTGGAATATATTTCTGTATGTTCTTTTCCTTTATCCTTCACATAACACATTTTTCTGTGTAACATCTTTGCTACATAGTGTCTTAGGTCACCTATATCAAAAGAATTTTTAAATCTCATTTTGCTATGCATTATACAAGAGAAGTAAGAAAACGATTCCATGAATTAATGAACCCCGAAGAAAAAGGGGTTTGGGTTCTTGGCGGGAAAATGTTGATATCTAAAGGGCGGGAAATGAGCTTTCCTGACTTTTGAAGTGTCTTTTATTGACTTTTAAGTTCTTCAGAATTAAAGGTTTTCCCCCTGATCTTGAAAATGATTCCATGAATCAATGAACCCCAAAGAGAAAGAGGGTTCGGGTTCTCGCCGAGAAATGTTGATATCTAAATGGCGGGAAATGCACTTTCCCGACTTCAAAATTTCCCCTTGAAAATTTTCAAGTAATTATCATTATTATTATTATTGATGAACCCCAAAAATAAAATGGGGTCAGGGATACTCCCCGAGAAAAATGTTATTCTTAGATGGCGGGAAATGAGCTTTCCCGACTTTTAATTTTCTTTTTGTTAACAAAAGAAAATTTTCCTCAATTGTCCTGAAAAGGTAGGTCTAGAATTTTTTTTTTTTTGTCCAAGAGAGAGGGCTGTCAGGACCCCTGACCACCAGATCTGCCAATATGTTTTGCGGGAAAAAATGTAACTCGGTCATCAACGTTTTTTTACAGTCCAAACATTTGGATGCGACCCATTGGTTGTGGAACGGAGCAGTAGATGATTAATATTCAGCGAGAGAGCTACAAAATATACATACTGTATATGTTTTTAAATTATAGACAATATTGCACTTATGCGTGACATTTTGGTTTGAGATAGACTTTGAATGAGCGAGTCTCAAATGTGTGAGCATTGGCGTATATGAGTTACTATGTGCAGCACAACATAATAGCGCTCATTCAAACATTGTATAAACATAGGCAGCGTTTATTCAACCATTGTATCAGCAAAACATTAAAATGGCGCTCCATATATTTTGGCGTTCGATGGGGCTCAGCAGAAATTGTCCCCACCAAAAGTTGGCCTAAATATGTCACTTTAAACAAGAACAGACCTAAGTATACAAAATATACAAACCTCTCAACATGGCTTCCACTTCACTTCAACGATTCCACTTCACTTCAACGATGATACTCTGCAAAGTCCAAAGGTTTGTATGTTCCGTAGAGGTCATTTCACCACTTTTTATGGCCTATACCTTTGGAAGTTCAGTGAGGGAATTCCAGAGATAATCTTCATGATCTTTATGCAAATTTGCTGTAGATATAAACAGGGTGAATACAATTATTATTATTTGCAGATGTTTTTAAAAAATTATGTTTTATCCATTACATGTAATGTAATGTAGCAGGGTAAACATGGCTAATGGTATATGAGCAGCAAAGGTATTTTAGGGTTAGATAAATGTAAAGCTAGGTTTCACAATGCTGTTATGTTTAATAATGCTTAATAGGCCTTCTTTATATTGGCAAAGTTGCATTGTACTGTATTGTAACCTAAATCAATATGGACTAATTCATTCATATCAGGCATACACCCAGGGATGTAATGCAAGCTAATGAAATGCACGTACGCAAATTACAATTTATGCATATATGCCTATTTATATATACATTACATGCAAATGTTATAATTAAATAGTTTGTGCAAAATATTAGAGGATTTGATTGTTAAATAGTCAAAAAATATTTGTTGACATTATCTGTGATTGTGTGTCTCTTTTACGTGTTGTACTTTTGTTTCTATTTTTTAGACAATATAGTTGTGGCGCTTGTGGTTTCCACAGGAGTTTAATTATGTACTGAAAACGCACTTCAATATTATATTGGGAATTTTAATAATTGTCCTAGTGACAATGGCTATAATAATAATAATAATAATAATAATAAATAATAATAAAAATAGTAATAATAATAATAATAATAATAATATTTATTTGGAAACACTTTTTAACAGTAAAACCAACTGTTGTAAAACTACAACAATCAAAGTCATTAAAACTAACAAAAAAAAAGAAAACAGGGAAATATAAAGCGAAAATAAAAAAGCCAAATTTACACCAGGAAATAATTAAATGAAGTGCACCTAAATAGTTTATCTGCATAAATAGACCATATAAAACATGATGATGTGCTGCAGATATGCAATGAGAAAAACATACAGTACTAACTTATTTTTAAAAAGTTTACAAGGGATAAAAATTAAAACAATAGTAGTAGGCCTATAACAACAAATAAAAACAACAACAAATAAAAACAACAAAAATAATAATGAACAAGAAGAATTACAATAATAACAAGAGCACTCAGTAGAGAGCATATTTCCGCCCACCGCAAATCCCTTTCTTTAAAATAAATCTCTCAAATATGTCCCTATTTTACCAAACCTCACCTCACTTCACTCCACCCCTTTTCAAAAATGCACAGTAACTTGTCCTAACACTTTGTTTTTCAAAAAGGGGCACAATTTGCACTTTCAGTATAAGTTTTTGGGAACTCTTTTTTTAGAGTGGCATGAACATTTTATTTCTATGCTTGACAAAATAAATACATGGCTGTTATTGGTGTTGAAATGGAAATATTATACAAATAATCAATGGTTCATAGCATCACATGTTTAAATATAAAGATATGTTTAAAATATTCCCCATCAGTTCCCAAAAACTAGTACTGTACACATAAAATGCTGTACACTTTACGGTAACTGCACTAATTTGAATATTCATCACACTGCTATGTTAACTGCCTATGGTATACGATGTCCTCATATCCGCACCCTCCTTCGGATCGTGAAAAAAAAAAATTAAATGATAAACAAATGTTTAAAGCTGATTAATAAATTGTATGTAGTCTACCATAATTAACAAATACAACCAAAAAAAAAGTTTATTCCAACAAAATTTATAGGCTATGACATATTATGTTAAATTGGTTCTTGCATTGTAAGTACAGCAGTTCATAACTTTATTACATTCATGCAAATATATTTCCCAGATGTAATTTCTAATTAAGTGTGTTACTTGTTTGCATATTTTATTTCACATAAATTTGACAAACTCCATTTGCACTATTGTCAATTACAGTATATTGATTTTTTTTTTCAATTTCAACACAATAAAATAGCTTTTCTATGCGTCAAAAAAGGCTAGCCATGGCAATGGAATAAAAATATACAAAAATTAATAAAGAACTGATGGTGTAGTCTGCAGAGGTCTACGAGTGAGAAAATATCTGGATAAATCAATAAATGCTTAAGTCTCCATTGAGACTTGCCTATTAGTTGGTGAAATATAGAAAATGTATATCTTTCTTTATTAATTGCTGCGAAGCAGCAAATTCATATTCTTGACAGCAATTTGACCTCTGAAAGGTCATTGTTTGTCAAAAAACAAGGGCCTACGACTGAAAAGCGGAGTTTCCTTCTTTCGTTCTGCCGGGTAAAATAAATTACTTTAGGCGACGTTTGTACCAACGTCCGCATGTCGCGCTAGCCTTATCCTACTCTAGGCCTAGACTAGCTAGGATGGTATAGGCCTAGCCTTGAAGGTCCCAATGAAAAACAACGTCGCTCCTTGATAGCTAAAATTGTCTATTTAACATCAGAATAATTCATTATTAGACCTATAGTTGTTTTTTGAATTGTACTCCACAAACTTCAGACGATACCTCGCACAACTCGAGTAACGTCTCGTATCTGTTGTGACGTCTTGGCTCGCTGGCTCACACTTGCGATGTCTCGCACTTGTGATCAAATAACACGCTGGCTCGCACTTTGGCAACACTCTTTGACAGTCTAACTCGCCTCTAGAAAACCCGCCCTTGGAAACTTGCCCCATAAAAAAATGTACACTTCCTAGACCAGGGAGTTGTTATTTAATTTTTGAAACTTTATTTTAAAAAACCTAAACCATAATTCACCACTATAGACACTTTTTGACAAAAATGAAAAATTACGACTTTATTACCCAATGTGTTCTAATATAGACAATGGGTCGTGTCTCATATTATTTGTTATATTTTTATTATTCATTATTTTCACTTGACTCGTATACATAATTTTGTTCGAAGAACATTTATATACAGTGGTACTTCGCAGCACTTCACTTGCAATTTGCAATTTCTAGTATAGCATTATAATTCAGCATTATTGACTTTCAGTGAAGTAAAACATCACTAGTATTTTTCTGTATTATTTGGATTAATTTCATTTTAAGTAACTTACTGGAGATATTTAGCTGAAAATGACACTTTTGATATCATAAATGTAATAAGACTCTATAATATTTATAACATTTGCATCAAATCATCATTTGTGGTTCAAGAATAGCTCAATTTTAAAAAAATCCATAACCATAAAAACATTACTTGTCTAAGAATTTTTAAATTAATTAATTCTTTTTGAATAAGCCCAATATGATTTCACTCCCTTGCAACACAATGATCTGATATCATCTGTTCTTTATCAGGCACCGCAATTAGGGAATTGCTAATTGTATTTCATCATTTAAAATATTAACTTCTTAAGTACAACTGAAACAAGGCAACAGTTTTTATTTAAAAATCATAAAAAATGTTCCCAAACTAATTATACTAATCAAGCAACATTTTGATTTGAAGGATCACAACCTGATTGTTAAATGGTTTAATTAATAAACTTTAAACCAATTTTTATGGTTATAACAGATTTTCACAAATAAATTCCAGAATTGTATCCCAGAATTGCAATATGTCCCTTTATCCATGTCATCCAACATCACCATGTCTAATAAATATTCATTTTGTATGCTCTCATCAGGAAAATATGAACTTGATACATTCTGGGCAAAGCAGAAAACAATAAAATTCATCATTATTATACTTTTTTGTAATTGTGCTCTTGTTTTGTTTACAGTAGCATATAATTATATGCAAACCTTCAAAAATGTTGTGAAGTCTGAGGATTCTTTTTATATAGATATAAATGCATTCTTAGCTAAAATTCCATCATTCTACCAGCTTGAACGTTCGTATAGCTTCTTCAATTTTCTTCAATTCATTCTCTGTTTGCACCATCTGCAAACAAAACATAAAACCCCAGTACAATTAAAATATGGCACAAAATACATAAAATAAAAATAAAAAATATACTCAAGATAATTTGTAACAAAATTTGCAGTGGTTAGATCGTTGTTTGGCTATATTGCCACAATTACAATAACCAGCAAAAATCTGAGGACAAATTTTCGTAATGTTCTGTGTTTCCTAATATGCACATAAATCAGTTGTGGCATTATCCGAAGGTGAGACAACTATAGTTGTCTCAGTTCAAGGTAAGTTTGTTTCGGCAACTCATCCCTGAGTAAGAATTTGGAGTCAGCCCTGGGTACAGGACTGACTTTGGTTATCAGATGAGGGCCATACTACACAAGTATCTGACAACCCTCCCCCACCCCATCCCCCTGCCAATTTTAAAATTTACCTTTTCTGAGTTTGCTGCCCTTACTTTCTCTGGAACTTTGTTTTGATAGTCTGCTTTAGACATCGTTTCTTGAAGTTTCTTGTTTTGGTCATTTAATCGCTGTTTCTTCTGCTCCAATTTGCCAATTTCTTTACTAACATCCACAATACCCTAAGGAATTAAAAGTTGACAATGTTGATGTTGTTAATCTTAATATAAAAATAATGGTTTTTTTTTATGGTTCAGCAAGCACACTGTCCATCTGAGTAATGATGCTTTATGCTAATATTTAAAATACATCTGAATATGTGATACAAGTTTGAAGAGGTTGCAAAATTAAACAGTATTACTGTTACTATTACTGTATTATTGTTTACCTATTAAAAACAAGCAATAATAAAGTGGTTAAAGCCAATAATAAAGTGGTTAAAGAGGAAAAACGATTTTGATATATTGAATTGATTTAACCAACAGCATACAGACTTGGAAAAGGCACTGCTGTCCCCAACCACCTTAAGTGAGGTCCATGGCCATGACTCCTTCAGAACAGTACTAGTGTAATAATCAATGAAGCAGAGGCAAATGACAAAATGTCAGTCCAGACTCACCTTAAGCATCAAGTGAATTTGACATTTGTCAGACACTGTCATCATAGCACAGCCAACTGGAGGTTTTTCATTTAGGAGTGTCTTCACATTGGACGAGTAGGTCAGGGTACGGATTGTGTCTGTGAATTCCTTAATTATGGTTACAACTTCTTCATCAGAGCTTTCCAAGTAAACTGTAATTATTAAAACAATAAGGATATTTCCAGTTTTTAATTTATCTTTTCAAATTCATTCTATTCCCAAATTAAATGGTTTTTTATAATGGCTAAATACTAATTATTATTATGTTTATTATCAAAATAATTACAATATCATTATCAACTTCATTATTAATATGTGCATATGGCACACACCAAGTGAAAGATGGTTGGAAAGACAGTACTGCTAGCAGCAACCAAATATTGTAGCACAAATCAGGACTCCACCACTCTAAAAACCAACTAAACCCAATTCGTTTTGCCCCACATGCGGTGTTAAATAATACCCCATTAAGATCAAAATTAATAAAAAACTACATTATCATAATTAATCAAATCAATAAACTATTGTATAAGTGTAATATTTGCCCAACCGGACATGAAAATGTACTGAATACTCAGTACGTGTTAAAAGTTTTTCTCAGGTGAAACCAAACACACTTTCTCCAGGCTGCGGTATTTGTTTTTTTTTCATACATACTGAGTATTCAGTACATTTTCACATCAGGTTGGGCAAAAATTACAACTATACTTGATTTTCTTTACACAAATTCAGTTATTGTATATTCCATCAGGATGCTAACAATTACCATTAATAAATTAATGATTATTGACTTTGTTGACATCCGTATGTAGAAAATAATGATAATGATGATGATAGCACTAACAATAACAATGAAAATTGCAGTGACAACAGCAATTATAATGCAGCAATTTTATATATTACCTACCATCTGCTTTTGTTTTGACGAGATTGTAATCAGCTCGCAATGATCGAATCTGTTTAATAATAGACTGCACAAATTCAACATCTGAATCCAACTTCTCATTACTAAATGGACACTGCAAAAAAAAAATGTTCAAACAAAAATTGAAATATTTATTCTTCATAAAATAACTTGTAACGTCATTATGCTGAATCCATTATCTTAAATCCAATGATAACAATGTAAAAACATTGTGGAGTTTTCATTACTTCTTTAACATCTGGATAGCGAGTGACACATATACTTGGTGGTTCTCCTTCTGTCCTTCTAGGCAAACGCTGGAAGAGTTCCTCGGAGATGAATGGCATGAACGGGCTGATGAGTCGTAGGCCGATATCAAGGCATGTGTACAAGACCTGACGGACGGCATCAACACGAGCGGAATCACCAGACTGCACAATAGGCTTCATGTATTCCTATAATAAATTAATAGATCACATTAATATAATATAAATGAAATGAATGGTATTGAATACAGCATGATTAATTATAATATTAATACTGAATAATTTTTATTTTTATATAAAAAATATAACATAGTAAACATGAAAATCTTTTTAATGTTATGATTTTGATGTTTCAATTATTTAAAAAAAATTGCAATTGACTGTGAAGCTCTCCTAGCTATTCTGACCCTAAGCTGTTTCATGTATGCCATAACTTGTTTTAATTCCTACTTGCTATATTCATATTTATTTAAAGTGATATTATTCTTTACATTGTCTTTGTCTGCAATACATTTTATTTGATACAAAATGTCTAATAATTTTATATCTTACCAAGTAGTAGTCACATAGGTCATACAGCCAAAAGTGATGAATTGAGGTAGTAATGGAGGAAAAATCAAATACAGGCCAACCAATCTCACACGCCTGGACAGCGCTAGCTAATCGGCTAAGAATCCATCGATCCATCGGGCCTTCCAGTCCGCAAAGCTACATTAAAATAAACATAGCAATATAAATTATATCAATTTGGGTCCTTATGTCCAGGTAATGTGATGCTCTTTAGGTAAAATCTACAGCATAATTCATGATTGCAAACAATTTGATTGAATATAAAAAAAAATAACACAACATTAATAATAACAATAACAATGATATTTAAAAAAACAACCAAAAATAAATAATAAGAATATATAAAACAGATTATAGTCCATTTTGTAATTACAATAATGAGAACATATAGTTGAAACTATGAAGTACGCTCAAATTGAGATTCAAACTTGGGCTGCTATGATACTCCTTAGGGTAAATTGCAACATTCTAAGGAAATACCTCAAATTTAGCTTTAGGTGTGAAGCCTTCTCCTAGGGTCATTGTTGCAAAGCGAGTTGCATTCCACATCTTGTTGCAGAAATGACGGTACCCGAGTACACGCATCACATCTAAGTTGATGTCACGACCCTGGGCTGTGTACGCACAAAGCGCAAATCGAAGAGCATCAGTACCACATTCAGGTATTCCGTTCGGGTAGTCCCTCTTCTGTCCATCCTTAGCCCGCTGTACTTCTTTGGGGTCTAAGTTTCCCTGTTCTAAAATCTTGTGCAAGCCCTGTGTACAACAAATAATTACAGGTATCAAACTACAGAATAGAGCAAAAAACAAATGCTTTTACATTTGAGAATCTGGCTTTGAATCGAGGTCATTGGGAATTCAAGAGTGGGCATCATAACTACAACTGCTTTCCACATCAACCCTCTTCACTAATTAGAAATTTATTATACAGTTTTATAACGCACCTAAATAAATTCTTGTCATTTGACTAGTGGATTTGTATCACATGAGATTGGCTATTTATACCATTTCCTCACTCATCATGGAAATTTAGTTCCACTGTGCATTTCAGTTGCATGCCTTAACTTAACTTGGACTGCTCAATCCAGAAAAAGCTAGTGTTTTGCTTTATAAATAAAAAATTTATGAAATAATTAATGCTTTTTATTCGCGTAATGGAAAAAATACTTTCATTCATTGAAAGATTGAATGTTCTATTCAACTCGGCTCTGTCTCTTTAATGGAACAGTCAACCTTTCAGCTCATGAAAAATATTCTTCCCATTGCACTCATAAAACATTCATTATTTGTGTACTAGCAAATAGCAAATAGGTTAGCTTATACCCCAGGAGTTGGATATTTTCACCTGTATTTCACCTTTGGAACTTGAACTTATTTACTGAGTCAGACACATGCCAAATCATAAAAAAACAAAAAAAAAATGCCTGGTTAGCATGTGAAAAGCAAAGGGTTTGAAAGATTTGTTTTAAACATAACACAAAAACACAGTTCAACCTGTACATATTGTATTATTACGACCAACTGAATTTAGATAGAAAGTCTTAGAATTCCTAAAAACAAAATTGCTCTAATATTCAACAATATAATCATACAATGCTTTATATATTATGTAAAACAAAAGTGTAACAAATATGTGAAAAAATCTAAAAGCGCACCTCCAATGTAATCCCTTTGATAACATCGACTGGGTCAATCACGTTGCCTAGCGACTTGCTCATCTTGCGGCCATGTGCGTCACGTACCATTGCGTGCAGATACACTTGCTTGAACGGTAGTTTGCCATTGAGCTTCAGGCTCATCATTACCATGCGTGCTACCCAGAAGAAGATAATGTCATGGCCTGTCTCCAGCAGCGTACCTGGATAGAAGGTTTTCAGGTCAGGGGTCTAAGGTCACACAAAAATAAAAATATTAATATATGTCAATGCTGAAAAAAAATTCACATGTTTACACAAAAAAATATAAAACTTGTAAGTTTATGTTAAAAATCTTTAATGCTAGGCTCTAAGGGGTACAATGCTATTGCACTGATCAGACCACCAAAGATAAAGGCAAAAATACAGGAAATGCACTTCTTTATTTAATATTGAAAGTATTGTGACATAATGCGATATACCTCATCTGGCCAGCCAAAGATGGAGAATGGGAAAATGCCTGATGAAAACCATGTATCCAAAACATCATCATCTGAAAAAAAATCATGTCAATTAAAAACAAATCAAAATATAAAAGGAAAAAACAAACTTATAAAAATATATCAACACAGCATAAAACAATGTCTAATAAATATCTGGATGAAATGTTTACAAACATATTTTAACATATTAAAAACATAAGGTGAAAATTATGGTTGCCAATAATTGAAAGGAACTTCTTATTTATGTATTAAATGATACTCATTTGTTTGTAATAAATATGATCAAATAGAAGGCAGCAGAGATAAAAGGAATGAGGAAAGACATCCATAATACAAGGTGAAATGATAGTAATTGTTATTGTCGTGATGGAACAGACAATAACTGGATTTGCATCAGGAGAAACATGTATAGGTGTGGTGGTTGAAATGCATGGCTTCCAATCCCCAGATCCTGGGTTTGATTCCTGTCACTGTAACAACATTTTTTCTCACGACCAAACACAACTTCATGTACTAAGACTCATATTGAGACTTAGTTTATGTAGAGCATCCTGTGTGCATGTCTGTCTTGCGAAGGGATTACCACTTTGAAGTCCACTGTTTGCCATATCCTTGGCCCTTGTACCTAAAGCTAAATAAATGTGATACCCAGCTTGCTAGAAGCAAGAATTTATATTGATACCTTGCCTGAGTTGAATCTTATCCTTGGGAACTTTGAACCTGGCAGCTGCTTTCTCCAATGCTTCCTCTTCTGTGGTAGCACTCACCCAATAGTTGTTGTCTGTATCCTATAAGCAAACACAAAATTAATACATAATGGAACTAAATTGTATCAAAAGTCATCTTATTTTATATTGTATTATTTTATATAAACATTTAAACTGTCATATCATATTCACCAGTTAGTTTAGTTAGTTAATGAGACACTCTTTAATAAATACTTTGCATCAGTGTGAAAACATGTGGTGTAAATACTTATAGATAAATGGATAGATGGATGAGCTCCACATATAGAATTGGACTTGCTGACTGCAATGCTCAAATTATAGCACTAAAATATTAGACCTGTGATTAAAATGAGAAAATGTGTAATATGCATGCTAAATGCCTATTTGTGTGAAATTAGCACACATCACAAATAATATCAGGTGACAAAAAAGATGCCTGCAACACTCAGAAAATAATTTAATAAGGTTCTATGCACATGTGCACAATCTGTGCCATAACACACATAAAATGTACAGACCTTTAGCAAGGTAGGTATTTTACAGTATCTCGGTAGGAATTATTGTGGAAATTTGTATAATATTTAGCATGCGTGCGACCTAATATTTTATCTCATGTGTATCAGTTATTAGGCTCAATGTTCTCTGCCAATGAAACAATTTATCTTGCAATTAGTATGTATCTCTTCTTAAAAATAGGTCTACTTACACTGAATGCAGGTCTGCCCTGACAAGATTCAACTTATACTACCAAAAAACTATCCACTATCCAGGTGTATTATCATCAACAATATCAGTATTATCAATATTATAAACATTATCATCATCACCACCACCACCATCTTCCAATCAATTCTTATTCTTTTTTCTTATTCTTATTATTTTATTGCACAATAGAATAATCTTGATGGGAGGGCCTGATCTCTAAAGTAAACTTAATTACTATAACAATTGTTTGAGAACCACTCCCATCCAGTATAAAAAAAACATCATTAAAATGTAAGATAAAATATAATAGACAATACAACATCAAGCAAAAAGCAAGCAAAAAATAAAATAAAGAATAAATTTAAAAAAAACCAAAAAAAAAAACAAAACAGAATAAATGCAAAAACAGTAATTAAAAGCAAAAAACAAGGTCATCACAATCACCATCTAAGTTCAGTAATAACAATAATAATTATAATTATTCTACAAAACCTATTGTTATTATTACCATCATTACAGCAAAATTCCCATTATTATTTTATTATTTATTATTTATAATTATAATTATTATTATTATCACCATTATGTACCATTATAACTACAATTACCATTATCTTCATTATAACAATCATAACAAAAATAATAACTATCATCATTATCATATTATTAATATTCCAAACACCTGTATTACATGACTCCTCTAATTCCATCAGCATTTCAAACAAGGTATACATACCTCTCCAGGTGGCACACTGCTATCATCCACAGTTACAAAATAAGCTGGGATACGATGGCCCCACCAAAGTTGACGCGAGATACACCAATCCCTATGAAGAAGAAATAAAAAGAAATTTTTATATACAAGACAGTGCTATCCAATACAAAAAAACTTATTGACCTTTCTGAAAATCATCTGAGGGTTTGAAAGTTGGAAGTCACTTAGAACAAATGTGGTTAAATGATCTTCTCATAACACAGTTAAGTTATTTTGCTCTGCATGGTGACGCAAAAATTATGAATTTGCGGGAGAGATGCTTTGTTTTCAGGGAAATTCTTGCCTGCTGTTACGAATTACAAAAGTTTCCTGCAACTTGCTCGAGACTTTGGACCAGTGTCATCTTGAATCCTCACCTGCTGTTTTTCAACCACTGATTCCAGGTTTTTATGTGCATGTCAGGGATTATCTCCAAATCTCCATCCTCAACTGCTTGCACAGCAGCAGCAGCCATCTCAGTGCAGTCCACAAACCACTGAGACTTGACCAGCGGTTCAACAATGTCTTTAGAACGACTGAAAAATCAAAAGCATAAAGGTTAACTCGTTAAGTTCTATATCTGCACTGCATGACAACACAGGTTTCTGGAGCCAGATTTAAATTAAAAATTGATAATATTTTTACTTACTCTTTTGGAAAAATAGTTAAAAAAAAAACAAAAACAATTCAAAAACTAGATTTGAACTCGTCACTGAGGACGAGTTAGGTGATCCGCCGTACTTTGACCCTCACGAAGCACACGCGGTTCTGACTGAAAAGTATAATATTCTAAAGCATGCTCTATTTAAAGAGTAATTTTGAGCATTTTAAAAGGAATTTTAAAGAAAAAGAGTAATTTTGAGCATTTTAAGGACTTACGAATGTGTACACATACGTCTTAACGTCCGTGCGCACGGTAGTAT